CGGTTCGACCGCCTGACGACCCTTATTTGCACCTAAATGGGGAATACAGATTCGGGTCGCCTCGACGTCGGTATCTGACCTAATAGGGAACGTAATTCTACCAATTACCAACGTCATATTACGTTGGATTTTACTTACTTAAAATTCGTCGCTAAGCACTTACGTTACGTTTGGTTTCATATTCGCTACCAATAAGAATACATAAAAACCTAACCAAACTACCTAATTACAAATGGATTCATAATCACTCCTCGAATATAACTATAAGTGCCTATCTAATTTCATATTATAATAATTCTGAATCATTCATCCAGACATCAGTTTTGTCAACGGAAGTCACTTTCTTGATATATCTGATTAAAATACTCCGGAAAACAACGAGCGCCTTCAAAATTAGGTAGATTTATGAAATAAAAATATCTATAAAAAAGTAACTCGCAAAATATTTTTTTAATTTTCTAGCTGGTTTAATCATAAAACTGTATTGTGGTTCCCCCCAAACTCAACCTTATCAATATTATTCTACTAGAAATCGAAATGTGAATATAAATTTTAAAAACAAAAACGATTTTAAAATGGCTGACAATCAAATACGTGTTAAGAATGGCGGATTTCTGTGTCCGACTTAATATGAACTACCAATATACCAATTCCGACCGGGTCTCCAACATTAGTCGTCTCACACGACCGAAGTCATCAAACAGGACGACCGGCAATCGTTTTATGACGTATATAATTCCAACGTACGCCACGTAACCTCACTTTGCGTATCAGTGATTTGTGGATTTGTGCAACTATATTTTAGTTTTTGTTTTCTCCTTAAAAAAAAATGGGCAGCCACTTTTTTAAGCCTAACCTCACATGTCGGAGGAGGATGGGGTCTGCTGGTTTCCTAAGCTAAAAAAATGAAATTAAGATGCACCAGTGTAATGCAGCATCTCTTCCGGATAAAAGGCATTTACGGGTGGAGGCAAGACATCACTACTACTATTATTATTTTGCAACAGCCTCGACCTCTTTCTGTAAAATGTAGATGAATATCTAAATGCCTTTTTAGTGTTTTTTTAGGCATAATAAAAAAATTAAGTTTGTTTGCAAAAACTTTTTATTAGGTTATGTTCATGATGTTCATTAGGTCGCAAATGCTACTTAATGGATTGTATTTACGGACGTAAATAGAGATACGTAAATTAGGTTATAAATATGAATATAAAATACAACAAAATATAATTGGACGTTACTTTAGAGATTATCAGTGAGACGTATCCTATTCGGACAACGGGTAGACGTCGGGCTAGTTCAAGTATATGTACGTCGTGCAAGCCAACGTGGGAACGACGTTGGGAAATTAATAAAAATGGTACGTTGTTATTTTGTACGTCGACAGATCGTTGGATTTACCGACTCAGATCCAACGACGTCGCTTTTAATAGGAAAGCGACGTCACAGGTCGTATCACCAGCACCCGACCTAAATTTGCACAAAGTCTGACGTCGCTTCAGGTCAGATTTAGTTCGAAGTCAGATAGATGCTACTTGGGTCGATAATACTGTTCTCTTGTAAATTTATCATACGTACATATATATCAATTGGTTTTAAAACGTTCTTCGACGTTTTCCGATGCCCAGTCGCCTTTGCTTCCTATCTGGCTAGAAGTCGTCTTCGAGAGATCGGGGAAGTTAGCAACTCATTGAAAGCAGGAATTATAAAATACGATCCTACTTGGGCTGCTACAATCCTGCTTCAAATCCCAACCCAGCCACACCTACCAATTTTGAGCTATAGTTACTTTTATTTTGGTTGCTGACTTCCAAGTTGGCAACACCCCGATTCCAGTAATCAGTTCCCGATTTCCAGTAATCGAAACGAAATTTGCTGTATTTCAAAAACGGCAAGAGTGGCTGGTATAGGGTTTGAAGCAGGATGAGGCAGGATTATAGCAGCAAAAGTAGGAACTTGTTTGGTTTGTTATTTCCTTATTTCTTTTTCACACACCTAGTATAGTACACCTAGTCTTCTTAGTTCCTGAAATACAAGGCCAGTTTTAAAATATCGCATTTTTCAACCCTGTTCGTATCTTGGTTTTAGTTGCGCCACTGTATTTTATTTGGAAATCTCTATGGAGCCCGATTTTCACCTTTTCGATAAGTTATAAAATCCGAGATATGAGCAGGGGAGTCAAAAAAATGCAACAATTACAATTTCGACCTGTACTTCAGGAACTAGGAAGGCTAGGACAAATATGTGTCTACCATTTTTAGTTTCATAAAAAAGTAGCATAGTAATGTGAAAACCGCATCTTTGTACTTCTGCTCATAAACGAAAAATATTGTAAAACACGAAATTTAATTTAATATAAGTTATGTTTTTATGTTCCTTATGCGTTTATGTTTATTTTTTTATTGTTGATTATATTAGTTATTCTGAAATTCTCATCTGTACCTACAATAAATTAATAATACGATACTTAGTAAGAAAATTGCTAATTGGTAATACCTATAAGAAAATTAATACTAACATTAAAAAAAACTTTGAATAAGAAGACTAAGGAAGGAGCATAATGCTATCCATGTATTCATGCATGGTGGGCGGAAAAAGCGCCGTAAAAGCACTCTAGGGTGGGGATCCTTGACAGTTCTGTTTGATGATTCATTTGACACATTTGAATTTGATTTGAAATTTTGTGGATTTGTCAGTCTTTACGGAGCTTATTTTATGTTATTTATTATTTATTCTACTACTGATAGTTGTATAAAGGTAGTAAATCTAGATGGAAATTGTGGCAGAACTTAAACTAACAGTGACACTATCGCGATTTATCGAAAAAGATTCTAAAATAGTTGGTTGTGTAGCGTGCGGTAGATTTTGATTTGAAATTTTGTGGATTTGTCAGTCTTTACGGAGCTTATTTTATGTTATTTATTATTTATTCTACTACTGATAGTTGTATAAAGGTAGTAAATCTAGATGGAAATTGTGGCAGAACTTAAACTAACAGTGACACTATCGCGATTTATCGAAAAAGATTCTAAAATAGTTGGTTGTGTATGGAACAACTTTTCGCTAGTAAGTGACTATATAATATACATACGTGTAGTAAATCGATCATTTATGAAATTCACTTAAATTAACTAAATCATATATTTTTCTTGCATTTTAGCTTTTATTTATTACTTGTCAAAGATTAGATGTCAAAGAATTTAGATACGTTAATTTGACTTATCTGCTTCAGTAGCGTATTGGATGTTTGTGTTAATAAATACTTATTATAACTTATCTATTTTTATTAGAATTATATATTTTTATAACAATTTTAATAACTACCAACATTTATTCACAACGTAACATAAAACAACAAATTATTGAGTCTACCCCACGTCTACCCTACATCATAGTTTTACATTTTTTAAATAAAATTAGAACGACACTGATAAACCGGAATTCAAGTCGGCCATATTTGAGGCCCATCGCGGTGTACCTAAGATTTTTGATATGCTCCTTCCTTAGTCTTCTTATTCAAAGAAAAAAAAGGTACCTACTTAAATTGAATTCTGGTTGTCTTGAGTTGAGGTTAATTATACTGATTTATACCTATAGAGCTGAAAATTGGTACAGGTCTTAAATACACTGTTATAAATGATATCTGAAAAGTCCCCACCCCTACCAGGTCTGTTAAAAAAAATATTCACGGTCAAAATTCAAAAATATGTTTTTTTGCTTTTTTTCTCCTAAACGGTAAGCGCTATCGCAAAAGTACCTTAAACAAATGTTGTAGACTATTAAATTTTCTACAATAATGGTTCTTACACTTTTTTCTTAGGAACCACCATTCCTGAAAAACTCGTATTTTTCATAATATGCACACATTTCCGCACTACCTGTGAGGTGGTACTTACTTACTTGGCGCATTTTTTTTAACGTGGTTTCCCCTGTAGGCCTAGTCCAAGATATATATTGTGGTTAAGTTTTATTACACATTATACTATTAATCTTAAAAAAAACGGTGCTTTTGGTAATGATTACAGTCGAACGTATTATTGTTGATTTTGGGAGTGTGGTAATCTTCAATCGATACTTCACCAGTAATGTCTGCCCAGACGTATTCAAAAAGATTGACTCTTCTCCAAAAGTCATCATCACAAGTGGAATTCGCTTGCTTCTTGCTATATATGGTGCTCCAAAAAAATTTAGACAAGTATAGATATTTAAGTTTTGTTAAAAATACTCGGAACAATAAAATGGTACAACTTTCTTGTCTTCCTCCAACATCTGCTTCTGCCTGTCAACACTTATATCGTGTATACTATCAAGTTCAATTGTGGCTAGGCAATCAACTGAACCCAGAAGACTGGGGTTGGAAATTTATAGATAATACTTTGGAGCTGATTAAAACTTTACTTCCACCTGCTCCAGAAAAACTATTTAACACAATTTTTTGCAAATGCAAAAAGGGTTGTAGCGCAAACTGTGGTTGTTTTGTACACCAATATGTACTAATTGATAAGGTCAGTCTTGCTCCAATATTGACTTAAATACAGATGAGGATTTTAATGAGGAGACAATAACTGATGCATCTGTCATAGATGGATTTCCAGATATTCCGCAAGAAGATGAGAAAGAAGAAAGCGAAGAAGATATTACTGTTGAAGTATCATTTGGAGATTACCACTCAGATTAAAATTCTCCCAAAATCAACAATAATCCGTTCGACTATAACCATTACCAACCTTAAACCATTACGACTTAAAAGTCTTTTTAAAACTGATTTGTTGCAGCTGTGGTGTGGTTGTTATCTATAAAAGGTAGAGGAAATTATGGCTCTTAATTCCCGTTAAGATATCCCTATATTTATGGTGTAACCAAGACGATATAAACTTATATTAATTCAAAATCAGTATATTTCTTAGTTTACCAATTTTTTTTCGTACGCCCTTGTCTTAAGTCGTGGTTGCGCGTCCGCAAACCACCACACCGACGACAAGGACGAAAAAAGGACTCACCATGTGTTAGAAAGAGAGCGCGGCTAGCGGCGACACACCTCCCCCAAAACGACACCTCGGTCCAGTGGCGTAGGCTGCTGCTGGAGGCGAGCTAACATCTCGCAGACAACACACTGGCTCACGTGACCACCGATTTAACACACAGCCTCCTCTATTTTTAGTCTCCTTGTGTCGCGGCGCTACACAGAGATAATACTTAATATAAGTAACAACTCGAGTCGACTTACTGTCGTATCTTTGTCTGTATTTTTCTCTTGTATTTTTAACCCTTTTAAATCACGCACGGCAATGTCCCCGTACCTGCAACAACTGTATCGACACTGATATAGGGATGTAATGATTGGCGGTGGGAAAAAATCGCCCCCGACGACGGATAACCGGATCGTGCGGATTTTTTCGATCTGGTCTGATCTGTCCGATACGCGCGATGCGCTACGTAACCCTCGATACTTCGGTTCGAACTGACTGAGAGACACTGCTTGCTCGCGGCTCGCGAAGTTAGCGGCCGGCCTAGAGAGAGACAGACCGCTGTGTAGATACGGGTCTCTACCGATTCTGTTTCGCTCTGTTCGCTCTCGCCTGTTGAATGTGTGCTGCTGCTGTGTGCGATTTGAGTCTTTGTGCGGACTAGGGATGGGCGAAAGTATCGATGTTTTAAAAATATCGATAGTTCCAGTATCGATATTTTATTATTTTTTCCTGTCATCGACATATTAGATATAGTCTGTCCAACGAGAAGATCCTTGACAGTGATAGATGTGGCTGTCATTTTAATTTCAAAGTAGTTTATTTTATTTTACAAAGAAATAAGTTGGTACAACTGGAACGAACGCATAGCAGGAAATATTTAAAATTTGATTGACAAGATGACAAGTGATTACTTCAAAATAAACGCTCCATTAGTGGTGACGTCATATTGCGGAAGGTCAGTGTCGCAAAATCTAAACAAAGCATGAATTAACTCGTTTTTTTTCTCGTATATTATTACATTACTGTTTTCTGAAGGATAATTGTATTTTTCCAAGTAAGTATATTTAATTTTGAACCGTACCAGTGCACTTTATAGTTAATAAATTCTATAATACTATGGAAATTCGTGTTCTTTATTATTTTAACATAACCTCATTTACTTATCCTATATGTATCCTTTTATGTAATTATACCTATAGTAAACAACTTATATACTTACTCAGAAAGACACAAATATCTTTTGAATAGAGTAATATAATAAAAATTAAGAAAGATTATATTCTTGCTTTGTTTGGATTTTGCGACACTGACCTTCTTTGACATGTACGTCACACTAATGGAGAGAAATTGTGAAAAAACTGTATAAAACTGAAAAATGTAATCGCAGTTATTTTATTTAATAAAAACGGTATGTGTTAATACAAAACAAACAAGAACAAGACACTACATACCAAAAAATATAAAAAAGAACTATTCAAGCTTTATGAAACTACCCGCATTTATGATTATATTTATCAATATAACATATGTACAAATAAGTAAATTTGTAATATTCCACAGGAATAAATAAAACAACATAGGTAAATAAAACAAACTATTTTAAAAATAATAACACCTACCAAATTTTATACCTTAAAGGTTGATTAATTAACTTTAATCTTAATTTTTTTAAACCAGTACCTTTACATTATTTTTCTGCAGTACTAAAATCCATTATTTACCTATCGTGTGATGTCGATATTTTACAGCTACTCCAGTTTTTAGTATGTGTTTTGTTTGATCCTTCTACCATATACGAGATGCACTTATCTACGACGAAATGGTATACAAACTTTATCGATGGCAACTTCATTGGTGTATAAGACTTTCTGCCTGGGCAGCGAATATTAACCATAAACTGTGCTCTGGGTCTACAGTTAATTTTCACTCGATTTTTATTCCACTTGACTTCAAAAGACACAAAACACACGTAATAATACGAATCAAAGTTGACACAAAACATTATAACCTATAATTTGGCAAGACTTTGACAAGCGTCAAAAATGACAGAAAATCTAAAGGCGAGTTCATACGCATCGGCGTCCGTTTGTCGTTCATCGTTCCGTCAAACAAATAAAATTGAAATACGATCTGTCATTTTTTAAATAAACCAATAAAACTGGTTAAAAACATCAAGACACGTCGTAAATATTTAAACCCATCCATAGATAACTTAAAAATTATTAGAAACTTTTTTTAGTAAAATAAATAGATTGCTATGGGACGTCATCTGCTTTTTTTCTGTCATCGTCTGTCGAAATCTTACCTGAGAAAAAAAACAGAGTATATTTAATAACTTATTTTGTCTTTACAGATGTAGAATGTAGTATTTTGTCCCGGTTTCTTGAGTTATAAAGCTTGATTTTCATGCAGCCGTTGTTCGACGATACGAAGATACGATATTAATTTTATTAGTTTTTTCCATAGTAACTGCAAAAATTGTCTTATCTCTATCAAAAATAGTAGATAAAATAGTACTATAACCCGAAGGGTAGATTAAATGATACTTTAACAGCGAGGATAGGTTAAAAACTTTATTTCTTTTTGCACGTTTTTTAATGGCTTCCATTTTTGAAAATTTTTGTATTCCTTTTCATAAGTTATTCGGGATTTAAATGGAAGTAGTTTGGATATGACGTTTGTCGCCTCAGCCTGAATATCTGTTCGTAATTTACTTATTTCGTTTTGAGCCATTTCTGTCTCCAATTCAATCAGCAAACTGACAACTAAAGAGACAGCTTTATTTATTTGTCAAATTACATAGAAACCAACGCCAACCCAGCACAATATTTTTCTACTCGTAGTAAATTCCTTGAAATAATAAATTCTGAATATTTTTTAAAATGTAACTCGCTATGGAATAAAATGTAAATAGTATATATGTGTAAAAAATTTACGGATGAAAAGTGGCGCGAAAACGCTAAGAATGGGCGAAAGTATCGATATTTTTAATTATCGATATTGTTTTGTATCGATATTTATATTATCTCGAAAACCTGTAAAAAACACCAGTCTGTGAACTACAGACAGGTCAAGAATAGAAATTTGTAAGAAAAAACTATGTATAAGAAGGATATATATTTGGTAAAATTGTAGACTCAACATCTTCTGACCGAAGGTCTAGAATATTCCAAGCCGAGATCTTTGATTAGAATATATAAATATAATATGCGAGAGTCAAACTACTTTATAAAACTCAAATAATAAATTTTTGTTTAGAAATTATCATAGGAATGGGGATACCAAACAGCCTAAGTCACTACGCCACGTTAAAAAATCGAGCTTTACAACCTTTCCAAAGAACTTAACAAAATATATCGATATTTAAACTATCGATAAATTTTGCCTCCTCCCTAGTATACAATAGATAAAAAATTTAAAAATACGTAAATAAGCCTATAGATATATACCCCTAAACCCTGTCAAAATAATCGATACACTTTATGTTAAACATCGATATTCTATTATCGAAATTCTTTTAAATATAAATATTCCTACTGCAGACGTGGTTCGGGTATTTTGTGAGCTGGAGCGTGCAGGGTACTGTACCGGTACTTCTTCGATTTGGCTAGCGGTTTGAGCTTTCGTAGCATATCGATAGATGGCGGTAAAAGTCCATGTGAATTTGAGAAATTGAAAATTTCAAATGGAAAAGTTTTTTTTTTGGTATCTGATAAGTATCTGACCAATTCTTTGAGAAACCAATCAGAATAACGAGATTTATAACTAAAAATCACAATATATTGTACAAAAACTGTATTTATTTTAAGGAGAGTTTCAAAAAAATGTAATAATTTTTTTCTCAAATTATACAATTTTTTGAAACGAATTTCATATTTTTGAAGCCACCCTGTATACGGATCAACAAACTAAATTATCTAGTTTATTATTTACCTACTTCAATGCTAAAATCTTTTTTAAGTATCTTTTTTAGGAAATAAAATATTTTTTTTTCTGGATAAAGTAATTTTTTTTGGACACCCTGTATTTTTATTATTTAAAAATCTGAAAATTTTCTTAAAAATTACCAAGAAAATTTTGTCTACCACCTTGTGCAGAACATATTAATAACATAAATAATGAATTATATCTATATTCATACTTTTTTGTATATAAATATAATAAAATCTGTAATATAAATACATTTCATTATATTATCAATCCCTTAGCATCCAAATTTATCAAAAATAATCAAAAACATTTATTTTATATCGGAAATACTATTGCATACTTTTAACGCCATAAGCATCAAAAACTCGCAGTAATCAAGAAGTAGGCTTTGGTGTCAAAAAATGTTTTACTGTTTTTGTTGTTATTTCCTGACTTTTCTCGGTGTTTTAAGAATTACTAGAAGTGTGCGCACATTTTATTATTAATAATGAACATTATTTAGTGTTATTTAGTGTACAAGTGCTTCAAAACATACAGAGGGTTCACAAATATCGACTGTCTTGTTGCTGCAAATTATACAAAAGGTAGGATAAATTGTATCTATGTATTTCATTATAGTATTTTCTAAATATGTATTTACATGACTAATTTTAACTCTGCTGGCTGTCCATGATTTTCAATCTAACTAGGGTACAGAAATATCATAAATTCATTCTAATATTATTAGAATTTAGTAAAATCTGGTAATCCGGCGATGGTATAAGCTTCTATGGCGCACTCATTCGAACCTCTTAGGAATCTAAAGTACCCATTTTCACCCCAGTTTTCATTCCAGGAATTGGCAATCAACCAGTACTTTACGTCATTTTCCACACCCCATCCTATGATTTTTACTGCATGTGATCCTTCAAAATCTCCACTAACGTGTTGGTATATTCCTAAAATGACAGTAGCTGTCATATATTATGTTGGATGGACAATAGCTTTTTATTAATAGTTGAAAATAGAATTATAAACATTTCAATTAAAATTTCTTTAAGTTCATCTCGAAAAGGGCTGAAAAATATAAATAAAATGTTTTTTTTTCAAATTTCGTAGAAACGGTAAGGACTTCGAAAAAAATTTCAATAAAAGCTGTCTTCTAGCTTCTAGCCACCCTATCTTGGTTAATTTTGATTTGAGCCAAAAAAGTATAGAAGCCAATTTTATGTAAAATTGGACGTTCTCATAGACAAACAAATAAAAAGAGACTGACAAATCTCATGGTAAAGAGTGGGACCGCGTTCCCGTAGCGCAACTCAGAATAACAATTTTGAAACCAATTAGCAGGACCATGGCAGAACGTACGTCTTTATTGCTATCTCTCTTTATTATGTGTGTTTTATATGAAAAAGAAAGAGATAGGTATAAAACGTATCGTAAGACATTATCGCAAATTCTGGCTGGCGGAAAATTTAAATTAGCCATTATTAGTAGTATTCTTTCATTCTGAAACTGAAAATTTTCACTTATAATATCACAAGAGCTTAAATTATTTTCGGAATTTTTTTTGAGGGCACGAATATTTTGAAAATTATCCCGAGTCGAAGACGGGGGATAATTTTCCTAAAATATTCGTGCCCGAAAGAAAATTTCCAGGAATAATTTAAGCTTGCGTGGTATTCGGTAAGAAAATTTCACACCTAAATTTGAAAAAAATATTAATCCAACATGACATTTTAAAATAATTTCAATTTGTTAAGTTGGCCAAGGTATTGATGTTTTGACATATTATGTGTTTTGTCATTTTTGTTTGCGATTCTGTCATTAAGCTATTACTAGTTTTAAAACGTCTGTACGTAGAGTAAGAAGTGTATAGCGAAATGTCGCGATTTGGAAAAGTAAACCAACAAGTCATTAAAGAAGAAATTGAAAATATAAAACCAGATAACACCCGAAAATCAAAATCAAGTGTATATCCATCATATTTCGTTAAATAGAAAAATACCAGCTTTAGTTAACTAAAGGCGGCAGAACTATATTTTTTAGAACATGGCAATTTCGAAGAAATTCATATGTAGGTATATCTAACATATTTCCTTAAATAAAAATATTACCAACCTTAGTTACATCAAATGCTAAAACTCAAATGGGTAATATTTCAATATATAGACATTGTAGTTCATTCACATTATGATTGTAGATCTTATGTTTACCTTTTCAACTGTCAAAAAATTTCCACTAAAGTTTCGTGGCGCCTCGAAAAAATTTCCGGAAATTTTTTCAGTTGCCATGGTAACTAGTCAACATTAAAGCATGTTATTGGTTGAAAAGTAGAGGTGTGAAATTTTCACTTAAACTAATTTATTCCCTATACCACGTAAAGGGAAGGTGATGTAGGGAATAAATCAATTTAGTGAAAATTTGCAGTTTCTTTCAGAACGAAAGAATACTACTATTATAAGGGAAATTATAAAAAAGGCAAAATTGTACTGTTTTATAAACATATTTATTTATACATAAAAATAAATAAACTTTTTATAATATAATAACAAAAAATAACAGGGTTTATTCCATCCACCTACCAATTTTAAATGAAGAAGAACTGACTGTTGCAGGAAACGATCGGCCAATTTTTTTAAAGTATCATTTTCGAAAAAACTGCCTAATTGCAATATCAAAGTGAATATCCAAGCAAAGAAGACTTTACGAGAATCATGATCCTGAACCATATTCAAGTCCAGTTTTAATCCTAAAAGAAAAGTAAAATAGGTATATTAATAAAGTTTCTGGTTACTCTAAACCAGCTAAAAACTACCTACCAAAACAATTAAAAAAATTGTATTAATTTGTTATGTTAAGAGAGGTTCGAAATATTTTTGACACTACTACTTCTACTTTTTTCTTAATAAGATGATAAATATAACTACTTACGTTTATTTTACCGGGTGTCTTTAACATATCTATCAGAGAAAGGGGGCACCAATACATATAAAAAATAGATGATACGGGCTCCTGCAGCAAATAAAATAACAAATAGTATAATCTAAAATTATAAGTAACAAAATATAAATACCTATCTGGAATAAAGGAATTTGGGTTTACCGGAATTTGTTCCCTATCCATATTCATAAGTCAATAAAATGGAGAGTTTAGAAAAAAAGGTAAATCACCAAAAGAAAAATTAGCAAACATGACGAATTGTCACGATGTTGTCATCTTGGTTGTCATGATGACGAAAAAGAAAGGCGATTGTTCTAATTTCTATTTAGAAATTACGTTTCTATTTAGAAATTACGTATGCAATGCGCAGATCAACATAAATAGAACGAAATTTTGCGTTTTCAGTTGCGTTACGGGAACGTTGTCCCTCTCTTTGCCATTTAATTTGCCAGTCTCTTTTTATTTGTTTGTCTATGGACGTTCTGTATTTTCTGTCATTTTATGAATGTCGTTTGTCGATTTTACATTAAATGGTTACAAAAATCTAACCAAAATCAAATTAAAATAATTCAAATCAACCAACCTGACTGATAGGATAAGAAATCTGCATAGACACTGAAAGAAGTAGCCAAGGGTCCATTTTTTAAAATTTCCAACTGCATTTGAGTTTCTCCAACGAATATGTTGGGATGTAGTCCATAAGTGTGCTCGCTTAGGTAGTCCAAACTAGTGTCGTCGCACTGTTTGATACAATCTGGACTATCAACGTAGTCTATGCATTTGTGGGGGTGATCTTCACACGAGGGCAGAAAATAAGATTTACAACCCTGAAATTTAGTTATTTTTTATTGGGAGACTTGTTATTTTTAAGATTGAAATTTGGAGGTATATATTATATTACAAAAATCTGCTAGCTCGATCCTGTCGTGTTTAGCCATACCCAAAATTCCAAACACACGTGCTTTGATTCGGATTTAAGCGGGGGTTCTACAGCTTCTGCCGCATCCCGCATTTCGACCTCCATATTGCGCGATTTTGCCATTCTTCCTGGTTAATAGCTCTGTCTCTCATGTACTGGTCTACTCCATCTAACCATGTAGTTGTAGGTCTTCCTCTTTTCCTTCTGCTTTGGGGACGATACTCCATTGCCCTTTTTTGCCATCTTTCCCCTCCCATTCATTTTACGTGCCCATACCGTAGTAGCTGTCTCGATTCGATGTTGTCGGTGCTGGTATATATTCACCTTGTTCTTTGCCTGATCTCCTCATTTCTAATGTGTTCCATCCTTGATATGCGACATGCTCTTCTGAGAAAGTCCATCTCCACTGACTCGACCATCCTTCTTTCTTTTGCTGTATATTGCCAGCATTCGGCACCGTATGTTAAAATTGGATCTACGATTGCTTTGTAAATCCTTATCTTTGTTTGGATGGATGTTTTATTTAACCACAGGAGAGGGTTTAAAAGACCGATTACTTTCTTACCTTGTTGAACTCTACTATGTATATCTTTCTTGGAGTTCCCTTCTTCAGATATAATACTTCCTAAATATTTATATTCGCTACATCTTTTAATTTCATGTATGTGTAGTTCAGGATCTTCAGTTTGTTCTTCTCCTACTTTCAGGTATTCGGTTTTTGTGAGGTTGATATTGAGTCCCCATCTGTCGTATTCTTCCTCAAGTTTCCTCAACATATAGTCGGCATCCTCCTCACAACCTGCAACAATAACTTGGTCGTCTGCAAAGAACAAGGTCGATAGACAGTGGTTGTCAATCTCTATTCCCATAGCTCTACTCTTCCTTCTCCAGTTTTTCAATGCCTCCTGTATATATATTTTAAATAAGGTAGGTGATAAACTGCACCCCTGTCTAAGTCCTTTAGATGTCAGGAAGGATTCCGATAGGAACTTCCCCTGTCTGATCATACTTTTTGAATTTTTGTACATATTCCAGATTGCATTAATATATGTTTTACTCACATTTGCCTCAACCAAGATTTCAAATAATTTCTTCAAAGGCACCGTGTCATAGGCTTTCTCTAAATCTATAAATACCAGATGCGTGTCCAAATTTCGAGCTCTCCTTTTTTCAATTATTTGTTGTAACACAAATATGTTGTCTGTACAAGAACGCCCAGCGCGGAACCACCTTGTTCTTCTATTTCTTCAAAGCTCTCTTCTACTCTCTCTTTTATTATCCTGCCATACAACCTTCCCATTGAGCTTGTCAAACTAATGCCTCTGTAGTTGCTACATCTTTTTTGTCTCCTTTCTTAAAGATAGAGCTGGTGTACGCCAGGTTCCAGTCTTCAGGAATGTTTTCGTTTTTTATCAGGCATCTGTTGAAGATATATCAGCTAGTATTTCCAAAAAATATATCGGGTCCCTGCTTTATTAGCTCAATGAAAATGTTTCCCGGCCCCGCAGCTTTTCCATTTTTTGAGTTCTTCAATGCTTTCTTTATCTCGTTTACACTTATTTCATTTACATCTATATCTATTGCGTTTTTCAAATCTGGCACTTCTAGTTTGAATTCTGTCCTGTTTTCTGTCAGTAACTGTTTGTAATGGTCTTCCCACTTTTCCATGCTTATAAGTTCTAGTTTACTGTTTTGCTTTTCGTCTCTTCTAAGGTTCCTTATTGTCTTCCACGCTTCTGACACTCTTGTACCTCTAATATATCTTTCCACTCTCTCACATTTGGTTTGCCACATTTTGTTTTTGCTTTTAGCTACTTCGCGTTTAACCATTCTATTTAATCTTGCATATTCTTCTCGGTCGTGGTCGCTGTGGGTACTAAGCCATTTCTGGTAGGATCGCTTTTTTTCTTCTATAAGTTTTTTTAAGTTTTCAGACCACCATTCTGGTTTTTCCGTCGTTTGCTTATCTTGTTGCCCTATCACTTCTTCAGCTGCTTCGTGAATGCATTGTTTTGTTTGTTCATACAACGTTTCAGCGCTTACGTTGTCCCTTCTTATATATGCTAGTTTATTGGCTAGTCTTAGTTTGTACAGAAATCGTGTCGACTCTTGCATAAAACTTTCTAAATTGTATTTTTTTGTTTCTACTTGTACGTATCTGTCGTGTATAGTTCTATCTACTACAGTGTACTAAAAACCATTGATGTAAGGGCTTATCGTGGAGCAGAATGTGGATCGGACCATCATTTGGTGGTATCAGAAACAGTAGTAGAGTACAGAAAGATGTACAGGGTGTCCCATTTTGGTTGAAATCATACGGTATCTCCGTTATTAGTGAAGATAGAAGGGTGCGGTTTGCACAAACCTGTCTCACTTTTTGTCAAACGGAAGATGCCGTAAACAAAATTTTCATAGCCCTCTTCGTTTCCGAGCTACAGGGTTTTTGAAAATTTTGCAATTTGGGACACCTCCTGTATCTCTGTTACTGTTAAAGCTATCGAGAAGGTGAAAACTGTTTATTGTAGAACTTTTTACGTAGAATACAGTGGCGTAGTCTGTTTTCTACCAAAAAATATTTTTGAAAATATGAACTAAAGTTATGCTTTTTTAAATGGAACACCCTGTATATTTATAAATCATATGATCTGTCTTGCCATAAGCTTCTCAAAAATATATGTCACTCTATATTTATTTTCACTATTTACTGCAATATTTAAAAGTTTTTATTAAAAGATCATATTTATTAGTAGGCCATGATTGATAATAAAAGAAACTAAAGAATTATTAAAAGTATACTGCTATCTGTCTCTTGTTTTATTTTGGGAGCCGCTAATAAATTCTTTATATATTAGGGAAACTTAACTCTCTACCGCTATTTGTAAATCTTGGAATACGTGTATACGTAAGAATAATCTATCGTATCGGAAATTTTAGATATTCCTCTAGCTAATTTACGTGAACTATACTTTCAGCAAGATGGGGAACATTCCCCCTCATAACTATGGAAATATTAGAATATTGTTAAATTATTATTTTTCAAATCCATGAATTGGAACCAATAAACGCATATTGATAGCCTCCTCCATTCCCGGATTTCGCCGTTCTCGATTTCTGATTCTGGGGATTTTTGAAATACGAAATATATCGTGGGCACTACAACAATGTCGAACGCCTGAAAAATGCTTTAATAATTCAAGATTTAGATACTTGCAAACCCATCCCGTTATAAAAAAAAAGAAAAATATATTCACAGTTTCAGTGGTAACAGTTATTTTAAAAGTAAAATATATCAATCCCAAATAAATTTTAATATGTGTATGACTATTTTAGTAAATACCATTTTGATTTTTTGTTATTTATCACGGCCTACTAATAAGAAAATGATATATTTTAAATATTGCAGTAAATAGTGAAAATAAATATAGAGTGATATATATTTTTGAGAAGCTCGTAGCAAGACAGATCATATGATTTATAAATATACAGGGTGTTCCATTTGAAAAAACATAACTTTAGTTCATATTTTCAAAAATATTTTTTTGGTAGAAAAACAGACTACGCCACTGTACTCTACGTAAAAAGTTCTACATTAAGCAGTTTTCGCCTTCTCGATACCTTTAACAATAACAGAGATACAGGGGGTGTCCCAAATTGCAAAATTTTTGAAAAGACCCTGTAGCTCAGAAATGAAGAGGGCTATGAAAAGTTTGTTTGCAGTATCTTCCGTTTGACAAAAAAGGGGAATAGGTTTGTGCAAACCGCACCCTTCTATCTTCACTAATAACGGTGATACCCTATGATTTCAACCAAAATGGGACACACTGTACATCTTTCTGTACTCTACTACTGTTTCTGATACCACCAAATGATGGTCCGATCCACATTCTGCTCCACGATAAGCCCTTACATCAATGGTTTTTAGTTTTGAGTTTTGTCGCTGTATCAAATAGTCAATTATGGAGCGTAGCTGGCGACAATAATACAATAATACGGATATATTTATACATTTTTTTATATATATACAATTTATACATTTGTGTAAAAATACCTAGTCAGTTTTACATAAAACGTTAAATGCCGAACGCTTATTTTGCTACTGTTTCGGACTACTGAAATGAAATCTTAAGGTTTTTAATTTGTGTTAATGAAAAACTGTCAATTAATGTGACAAGCTGGTGGTACCTGATCAGTTCTGTTATACAATCCTCCAGTAACGTATCCTGTGTCGTTCCATTGGAACCACGGGTTCTCAACCCAGCCTCCTTTGCAGTTATTGCCCACCGTGCAAGTTAGAATATCTTGAGCAGATACTAGAGTTTTTCTTTCTGCATCGGAGTGGATACAGATTCTGTCAGACATCGCCTCGGCAGCAGAAAATGCCTAGAAATTCATCAGATTTTATTACTATAAATCTATTAAAACCAGGGTTGGAAAAAATCATGATTTTTAAAAAAAAATCGAAAAAATCAGATTTGCCTATTTGATTTAAATCAGATTTTTTTGATTTTAATTCAAAACAATATTTAAATCGGATTTCCAAATAACTAGGACTTATTTCCAATTAAAGTCCTATCCTAAATAGCTAAATCTTTATAACTCTGCCCGTTATCGATAACATTAATAATTCTAGGGTGCGTTTGTCATTTTTCCACATCGGTCACCAATATATTTCGCAAAAAAGTCGCTCGCTTCAGATCAAAAGAATTTTTTTTTCAAACGTCTCAAAAGTATATTAATTTTTGTCATTTTAACGCCTAGGTATAAAAGTAAAGTACTGTTACGCCTAAGCACAAAAGTACAAAAAATATATTGTTGCTCGATTCCTGTTTATATTACTTGCAATGTTTGAAATTGATTAAAAATGATTTGTAATGTTTTAAAAAAAATAGTATGTATGTTCTATTAGGAGTAAAAATGTACTTTTTGTGCTTCCTCGTAATGTCGGAATAGCTTTACGATGGTCCTTCAAAGGTACAGCATCATCAAAAAAAAGTATAATTTTTACTGCTAATAAAACAATACGTTATTGTTCGGAAATACTTACTTACTGCAGATCAAAATGTCGGTAAGAATTTGGAAAAATACAATCATTTCAAAAAAAAACAACATATTTCCTGACAACGATTATTATTATAGATTCTCGGGAATGAAGATATAGTCTTTATATCAGAAGAACCTAGTTCTGGCCGTAGACTGCAAATGATATGTATTCGAACAGCGAATTTTTGTCACTTATACGTAGATAAATTTTAAAATAAATCCCTGCGTTTAGCGGTCTAATGGATTCACACGATATTACTTCAAAAATCGATCCAACATTTAAATTGATGAATATATATTTTTATATAGTTTTAAAACATTTACGATTACTTTTCGATTTATTATCTGTTATATATTTTATAGAAATATTTTTTTATAGTTTTCTAGGACACATTTTTATAACTTTTACAGTTATTTTTTTATTTATAATAAAGTTTTAATAAAATTTTTTTTTTTTAAATCAATGATTAAAATTAAAAAAATCACTTGATTTAAATCATTTGATTTAAATCATGCCAACCCTGATTAAAACTAGTGATGAAAAAGACTAAGAACAAGACTTCGTTGGTCTTGCAGGATTTATGCTTGATATTAGTCTTGTTGCAAGATTCTAATCTCTCACAATAAATCTGGCTCATTATTAATCAAAACACAATCACAGTTATTTTTTATACAAGACGACAAAAAGGTATTTTATCGTCGTGTATACAGGGTTGTTCACCGCATACGACACGGAGTATTGTAGCTAAACGATTAAATTTTTGCAAATTGTAAGTTTTGGGTTCGATGAAGGACTATTTGAGGTACAATTTAAAAATAATTTTACAAGATACAGAGTGTCCCAAATAAATAAAAAATATCAAAGTTGTATTTTTTTAAATGGAACACCCTGTATATTATTACATTTTTAGTTTCTACGATTAAAATAAAGGTAAATTTGATTAAGGTTTATTATACTTAAACCTTACCGTTTTTGAAATATTTTCAATTTTGTGAAATTGCAGTAAAAATTTTAAGGCTTCATTTCTCCAAGGGTATCAAAGTTTTTAATACTAAATATTTACTGAAGTTTATTTACTGATCAGTTATTGTGTTGCAATAATAAAAAATAATACTACCTTATACAGAGTGTCTAAAATTGATTTTAAATAATTATTAGCTTCAAACGGCAATAACTTGTTTAATTTAAATGGAACACCCTGTATATTTACGAGAATCAGATGCACAATTTAATTGTCTATCAAATTATATTATACCATTTTTTACCTATCTCTTTAAGTTTCCGTAGAAAATGCATTTTTCTTGTAATTTAGAACTTATTTATCAATATACCCATGGACTATTGACATTTTAGATTATTTTTAAAGATGTATCAAATTTTTAAAGAGACAGATACTAATATTGTCGATATAATTCGTTTATTTCATTAAAAAATAAAAAAAAACTGTTTAAATATTTGTTAAAGAGGACCAATTAATATGATTCCAGTATTCAAACTACATTAACTGACTGTTTGCGTTGATTAATAATAATTGCTCCAAATACTAAAAAACTGAATTTTGCATGGGCATTAGACAGTGTGATAAAAAGTAACATCTTAAAAATGATATTTCATTTTTTAATAAATGCTTATTTATAACAACAAAGGCTTTAATTTGATAACTTATTATTATATTGATTTCTGACTCAAAAATCCACATTTATTTATAATAATTTATTAGCGAACACAATTAAGTATGTCATTAATTAGTATATGGGCGGAAATAATGGTGTTATATTTAATTAATGGTATACCCTTTTATAAAGATTTAAATAGTTTTCTTTTTGCATACAAATGGGCTAGTAATATTATCGTTTTGCTAAAAACGATAATATTACTAGTCTGTACATTTTGTACATTTGTTGCTTTAAAAACAATCTAAAATGTCAATATTCCATAGATATATTGATAAATGAGGTCTAATTTAGAAGAAAATGCATTTTCTACGAAAACTTGAAGGGATAGGTAAAAAATGGTATAATACAATTTGATAGACAATTTAATTGTGCATCTGATTCTCCTAAAATATATAGGGCATTCCATTTAAATTAAAGAAGTTATTGCCGTTTGAAGCTAATAATTATTTAAAATAAATTTTTAGACACTGTGTATAAGGTACTATTATTTTTATTATTGCAACACAATAACTGATCAATAAATAAACTTCATTAAATATTTAGTATTAAAAACATTGATACCCTTGGAGAAATGAAGCTTTAAAATTTTGACTACAATTTCACAAAATTGAAAATATTTCAAAAACGGTAAAGTTTAAGTATAATAAACCTTAATCAAATTTACCTTTATTTTAATCGTAGAAACTAAAAATGTAATAATATACAGGGTGTTCCATTTAAAAAAATACAACTTTGATATTTTTTATTTATTTGAGACACTCTGTATCTTGTAAAAATATTTTTAAATTGTAGCTCTAATAGTCCTTCAACGAACCCCAAACTTACAATTTGTAAAAATCTCATCGTTTAGCTACAATACTCCGTGTCGTATGTGGTGAACAACCCTGTATAAAACAATATTTTTTCCATAGCGAGTTACGTTTTAAAAGATATTCAGAAATTATTATTTCAAGGAATTTATTACAGGAGTAGGAAAAATATTGTGCTGGATTGGCTTACCCAACATGATCCACACTGCGATTGATCCCTGATCAAGCCGATCACTCCAGCACACTCAGGCCAAGCATCTCTAGCATCAAACGATTCCGGTATATCTTTATTTTCATCGTGAACTTTTACGGTTATGTTTTCTGGATTTTTGAACCCTTTGGAGCCTGTAGCCAGTATTTTGGCCAACTCGTAATCTTCAACATCAAAATATCTTCCTGCTTTCCATGTTGACTGCTTTGAGTTGATTTCCGCGATGAATTCATCCGATAATGGATGAAGTTTTTCTGCAAAAACAACAGAAAATGAAACAAGGAGCACTAGGTTGGATATAAGGTTCATGATTGAATGGTTCTGATATAAAATATGACGTGTTATTTCCTTAAGTAGTAGTGATTGTGTTTGAATAGCATGACGTACATAATTTTAAAGTGTTTTATTGGTGATTTTTTTAAATAAAATATAATTTGAATTGGTTGGCTTTGTCTAAAAAAAAATGAAGTGTATCTGATTGATAGTAAAAAGTCAAGTCATATAAAAATATGACAATGATACTTCTCTTGATTTGTTTTTAATTTAATAAAATATACATGATCTTTAAAAAAATAAATAAATAAATAAATAAATAAATGCCTTTATTGTCAAAACATTTTTCAATTTGTAGACAAAGGTAAACTAACAAACAAAGTAAAAAGAACAAGGTACACAAACAAACAAAAGATAATACAAAACATTATACAAATAATATTGTCAGTCTTATTGTTAAAATAAACATTTATAAATGTTTATAATGTCAAAGAACAAAAAAATAAAAATAATATTCAAAAATATTTAGCTAGTTTATAGTAAAATATCAATGACCTCTAAATAAATTCATTTCGATGTCATTAGTAAATATAGCAATAGCAAATATTAGACCAGTGTTTACAAGATCAAATTTGATTTTCAAAATATAATTCATTTACGGCGTAGAAAGCCTGGTCTAGTAAATAAGAGTTCAATGCTTTGCGAAATGAAAAAAATGATGTTATGGATTTGATTTCAAATGGCAGGTGATGTGTGCATTTTTTTCGAGTTGTATAATATTGAACTTTTAACTAACTCTGAGCGTGGGGTAGGTAGATAAAGATCTTGCTCCGCGTTCCTGAGCGGATAAGTGTGAGATGGCCTTTCTTGAGAAGCTGATACATGTTTACGTATTAGGCAAACGGATTCAAATATAAATAAGGAAGGAAGAGTCAATATTTTTAATTTTTTAAAAAAGTCCCGGCAATGAGTTCTGCTGTTTAGTCCCAGTGAATATCTAACAGCTCTCTTCTGGAGCTTGAAAATGCGGTCAAATTGAGTCGCACAACACGTACCCCAAAATGGAAGGGCATACCTGAGGTGCGACTCAAAAAGTGCATAATAAACAGTTCTAGCCACTGCCAAGTTAAGCTCCTTAGAAACAGACCTTAATGCAAAACAGGCAGAGCTCAATTTTTTCGACAAAGCTTCGATATGTATGTCCCATTTCAGAGAATTGTCCACAACAAGCCCCAAGAATTTTACAGATTTGACGACGTCAATGGTGGTGTTGTTAAGTACAAAAGGCTGCAACGAGTTTTTATACGACAAAGCTTTAGTTTTAGAAATGTTGAGACTCAGGAGGTTCGAATCGCACCAAGATTTAATGGTGATTAAGTTATTTGATATAATCCTATGAAGTGCCGTGATGTCCTTGTTGCTCCAAGTGAAGCTAGTGTCGTCCGCAAAAAGACAAAAAGACACAAAAAGACATCTTAGAGAGTCTGTAGTCTGTATAATATATTTTTCTTTGTGAATTTCCCTCACAAAATCATTTACTTACAATTTATATAGTCATATATTTGCAAAAAATATGATAATATTCAAGAAACTTTATTTAACACAAAAAAATACAAGTGTTTAGAATTTGGTGAAGTCCGGTAGTCCGGCTGCAACGAAACTTTCAATGCCACATTCATCGGTTCCTCTCAACATGCGGAAGTAGCCATTTTCACCCCAACGCTCGTTCCAGGAATTGGCTATCAGCCAGTATTTGACGCCATTTTCCACACCCCAGCCAATAATTTTCACTGCATGGCCCCCTTCGAGGTCCCCAGCGGTGTATTGGTAGATTCCTGTAACAAAACTGAGTGTTTGAAACTTATATTTGTCACATATCGTAAAATTGAAACATTACTGAGCATTTCAAAGACCTCAATTGATATCATAGAGTCAATTGATGTCAAAAAACTTTCCATTGGTTTAACGTGAGGAACTCAAAAATATATATTCAGTATTGTCAGTGATATTAAATTCTGGATTTACTTCTATGAACGCAATTTTGAAGGTACAGATGCGAAGAAGCATTAATCTTTGTAGAGAATACTTCGGAAAACAATAGCATTTAAAAGTTATCTACTAGACTAACCTGATTTATATGAGACAAAATCTTGGTAAACATCAAAAGCGGTTTCGACTGGCCCATTTTTCAAAATTTCCAATTGAATTTGTTTTGCTCTCGAAACGCTATAGGCTTCCAGGCCGTAGGTTTTTTGTGCACTGTATACTACTGAAGTGTCATCACACTGTTCCACACAACTTGGAGTGTTAACGTAGTTGGTACACTTGTTGGGATGGTCTTCACAGTTGGGTAAGAAATACGACTGGCAACCCTGAAAAAAAAAACAATATAAACCTTGATATCTATGATCTGATCGTTAGTTTTTTGGGGATTTTGGAGGAGATATAACAATAATTTAAGTTAATTTAAGACGCTTACTTGAGAAGTGTTGTTGTAAAGTCCTCCAGTAACGTAACCTTTTTCGTACCATAGGCTCCAAGGAGCGTCTATAGAACCTCCATCGCACCCATAAGATAACGTGCATGTCAAAATGTCTTGGGAAGAGACCAGAGTCTTCCTTGTAGCGTTGGAGTGAATGCAGATCCTGTCTGACATAGCTTCGGCAGCAGCGAAAGCCTGCAAATATATATAAAACAGAATAATTGCATTAAAATATACGAAAATATACGAGGATAATCAGCTACACACACCGGAAAAATCTAGGGATATCATTTTATTAAAGTTAAAAATAAATGTTTTGAATAAACAACCACATATTTGTAGGCCGATTCTTTCTACTTCGATTGAAACGAAGTAGTCACCCCCAAGTTATTTCTAAATTGGGGATATTTGCAGAAGTGTTTGTGCATTTTTTGTCAAATGTATAAAAAGCACCTAGCATCAATTGTTCGAATTTAACCTGTACTGGCTATGTTTTTATGATAACTGGCCAGAATTCATTCAAATAACTCTGTTTAGTATTAAACGACATTATGGAGCGTAGACATCTTAACAGAGACGAAATGCTAAGGGCTATGGGTATACTCGAAGCTGGAATGCGCCAAATCGACGTAGCTAGAGCATTAAATACAAAGCAAAGTGTAATATCGCGATTAAGTGCACGCTACCGTGAAAGTGGTGATGTTGCTGAAAGGCACACAGGGCGACATCGCATTACTACCCCTCAGCAAGATCATTTTTTACAATTAAATGCTCGACGCCGACCGACTCTTACAGCACCAGAGCTTAGTTTAATTCTCCAGGAAACACATAATGTAACCGTTAGTTCTGACACTGTTCGCAATAAATTAAGGGAGGTCAACTTAAGAAGCAGACGCCCCTGGAGAGCTCAACCCTTAACGAGAGGAAATCGAGAGGTACGATATTTGTGGGCTCAAGATCATGTTCAGTGGTCGAATGAACAATGGGCCAATGTTCTCTTCACGGATGAGTCACCTTTTAGAATTCATCCGGATTCGAGAAAGCTTAGGGTATGGAGAGAAACGGGAAATCTTATTCTGTTGGATCATGTTCAGGAAGTGCACTCTTATCAAGGTGGAAGTGTTATGGTCTGGGGAGGAGTCCAGTTAGGCCGAAAAACCGATCTCGTTTTTCTTGAAAGGTTTCTAACAGGAATCACATATCGTGATTTAATTCTTGAGCCTGTCGTGTTACCATATGCCAATGATTTGGGAGAAACTTCATTCTCATGCATGACAATGCACGGCCTCATACAGCCAGAGTGGTAAGTGAGTTTATCAATGCTCATCAATTAAACATCTTACCCTGGCCGGCACAATCTCCTGACCTCAACCCCATCGAGCACGTATGGGACGCGGTCCAAAGAAGAATTTTGAGAATGGGTATGCCTCGTGAAACTTGTAGGGATCTGGTTCGGGCCGTTACTGACGATGGCTGGATAAAATTGTAATATCCCTAGACTTTTCCGGTGTGTTAGAACAAAAGAGAATAACAAAGAACGAAGACATTCTAATAAAAAAACAGACATTCTAATAAAAAAACAGTGGAAATAGTAGAAAAATATTTGGGACAACTAATACACAGAAAGAAACTCTAGAAATAAAAAAAATATTTTAAAACAAACAGCTATCTAAAAATGAAATATTTTGGTTGTATCAAAGAAAAGTAAGAATTCGAAAGAAATAATTATATGCAGTTTAACCAGACGCATATAAATAAACGCATTTCTATTCTTCTAACGAATTTTTTACAAATTTTTACGAAAAAAACCTACCCAGCAAGCTCCACATCTGGACTGATCTCTGATCAAACCGATGACGTCAGCACATTCAGACCAAGCTTCTCTGGAATCAAATGATTCAGGAACATCATCAGATTCATCGTGAACCTTTAATTTCAGAGCATCTCTGTTTCCTATTCCTTTAGTTCCGGAAGCCAGAACTTTCACCAAATCGTAATCTTCAATTTCGAAATTTCTTCCAGCTTTCCATGTTGATTGTTTCGCGTTGATTTCGTTGATGAATTCGTCAGAGAGCGGATGAAGATGTTTTCCTGCAAAAACTGCAGAGACTGTCACAAAGAGACACGCTACTGCTAAACTTTTCATTTTGAGGAAAAAATTTGTTCTGAACTGATGTTATTGGAATGATATTCTTTATATAGTTCATAGCCAGACAATGTATTTTTCAAGAGATCCTTGAGATGAAGCAAAATGATAATGTATTTACGCAAATACTAATAATATTGATAAAAAAATATACAGGGAAGACCAGTAGTGTTCATATAACGCTTCAATCAAGTGTTTAATTTGATGCTTTCATTCTAATCTGTTTTATAGAACTCTAGCTGTAACATTGAAATGAAGTGAGGAGATCTCTTTTTGAGAATCTTGTGGTACGGATTACTGATTGACCGATTGATCTGGAATGATTGAAAAAAGGATTAAAATTTCAACATATTTGAAATTTTCATAATACATAGTCAAAAATACCCTTTTATTTCAAGGACTTAGATTGGGAATATTTATTCTACACGCCAAATTCTTTGGTATGTACAGAGTGTCACATTATAGCTAGTATTTGCTACTAGTTTTCGTGAAATTTATATCGATGTCATCAAGATTGTCAAACCATATTTCCCTCGATGTTTCCTTTGTGATTTGCCACCAAACATCGATTTTTTTCACAAAACAAGAGCATTTAAGCTTTTAAAGGATTATATTATTCATAAACTACATAAAATTTCCTACAAATTTTGAAATTTTCACAATTTTATCACTTTGTTTTCTATTCTTCTGGGCGCCCTTGAAACCTAGTTTAAAAAACACAAAAATGGTCAATTTTTCGACTTTTTTCATAAAAATTGTCGATTTTGTCGTTTGATAGTCAAAAAAGTCAGTTTGATACAACTAGTGTTCATGTTATCTAATTAAAAAAAACGCAAAATTGAAGAAAATATTGCATTTTTGACACCTCTAGTTATCTTTCAAAATATCAGGTAACTAAAAAAACTGATTTTAATTTCTAATATAGGTTTTTTACATTCAATCCAGTGGTGTAGTCAGATTTCTACTGTGATTTCTCATTATTTAAATGTTACTATAGGTTTTTTAAATGTTTACCTTGTATATTTTGTAATATTAAAGTCGTTTTGTAATGTAAAAGTATTGTGATGTAGAACTTCCTAGTAAACAATAATTTACCCTGTATGTTGCTGGATCAATATAACTAGTTTGTTTTTAGATAAAAACTATAATTTATTTATTCTTTAATTTATAGTATGATCAGTTTTAAATAAAAAAAAGTATCATTGATTGGTTTTATTGTCTTTAAATATTTTACATAGTCTGTAATCTGTATAACAAATTTTTCTTTGTGAATTTACTTCACACTATGATTGTTTTACAAGAAACTCTATGTAACACACAAAAAAATAAGTGTTTAGAATTTGGTGAAGTCCGGTAGTCCAGCAACCACTTCGCTTTCAATATCACATTCATTAGTTCCTCTCAACATGCGGAAGTAGCCATTCTCACCCCAACGCTCGTTCCAGGAATTGGCTATCAGCCAGTATTTGACGCCATTTTCCACACCCCAGCCAATAATTTTAACTGCATGGCCCCCTTCGAGGTCCCCAGTGGTGTATTGGTAGATTCCTGTAATAAAAAAACGACGAGTTATTTTTTTCTGAAGTGCTTCCAAAATGATGGTGGCGATATTTGTCTCGAAAGTGAGTCATATAGCAACAATTCTTCTGCAATATCAAAGACCAGTAACTGCTGATTGGTACCTATCTATTTGTTTGCCAGGAGTAATTTGAATTTCAAAAATCCAACCCTCAATGCCGAATGATACTCCACCAAACTTTGAATTGTAAACCTCGAAATTTAAACTGCCTGGTCAAAGGTTCCAGTCTTCAAACAAAAAGCAATTTTGAAGGTACCAACAAGCGGGTGGAATAAATTCTTTCAGAATTAGTTCCAATAAACGCAAAAATGCATTATTCTTAAAAGCAATAAGCAAAGCAATTCTATAAAAATGACCAGGCTAACCTGATTTGTATGAAATGAAATCTTGGTAAACATTGAAACCAGTTTCAACAGGTCCGTTTTTCAAAATTTCCAATTGAATCTGTTTTTCTTTTGAAAATCCACTGGGTTCCAAACCGTAGGTTTTCTGGGCACTGTAGAGCAGTGAAGTGTCATCGCACTGTTCCACACAATCTGGAGTGTCAACGTAATCGGTACACTTGTTGGGATGGTCTTCACAGCTGGGCAAGAAATATGATTTGCAACCCTGAAAAAATCAGTGTTTAGATTCATATCAATGATCTGATCTTTAGTACAACTTTCTAAATATTTTCGTACGATTTTTGTTGTTTTTTGAGGAGGTGTATCAATGTTTTAGGTTAATTTAAGGCACTTGCTTGAGAAGTATTGTTGTAAAGTCCTCCAGTCACATAACCGTTGTTGTACCATTGTTGCCAAGGCGAATCTAAAGAACCTCCATAGCATCCATTATATGGCGTACATGTCAAAATGTCTTGGGAAGAGACCAGAATTTTTCTTGTAGCGTTGGAGTGAATGCAGATCCTGTCTGACATAGCTTCAGCACCAGCAAAAGCCTGGAAATATAAAAAAAGAATAATTGCTTTAAAATATATGCAAATATACCAGGATAATCAACTAGAGTAAAGAAGGATAACAAAGAACGAAGAGATTCTAATAAAAAACACAACAGTGGTAACAGTAGAAGAATATTTGAGATTGTATCAGAGACAAAGTAAGAATTCATAAGAAATTATTGTATGCAGCTTAACCAGGCGCATATAAATGAATGCATTTTTATTCTTCAACGAATTTTTTTCAAATTTTTACGAAAAAAAAATCATTTACCCAGCAAGCTCCACATCTGGACTGATCTCTGATTAAACCAATAACATCAGCGCATTCAGGCCAAGCTTCTCTGGAATCGAACGATTCAGGAACATCATCAGAGTCATCGTGAACGTTGAATTTCAGAGCTTCCCTGTTTCTTATTCCTTTCGATCCCGAAGCCAGAACTTTCACCAACTCGTAATCTTCGATTTCGAAGTTCTTTCCAGCTGTCCATGTTGATTGTTTCGCGTTGATTTGGTCGATGAATTCATCAGAGAGTGGATGAAGTAGTTTTCCTGCAAAAACTGCAGAGACTGTCACAAAAAGACACGCTACAGCTAAACTTTTCATCTTGACGAAAAAAATTGTACTGAATATATGTAATTTGAATTATATTCTTTATATAGTTCATAATGTTTCGGACAATGTATGTTTCAAGAGATTCTCGAGATGAGGCAAAATGATAATGTATTTACGCAAATACCAATAATATTGATAAAAAAAATATACAGGGAGATACAGTTATATTAGAACGCTCCATATCAAGTTTCTAATTTGATGCTTTCATTTCAATCTGTTTTTCAAGAGCTGTGTATAAAAAGCGACTGTATAAAAAACATAATTTTATAAAATGGTGAACATCAATTTTTATAGTCTTTTCAATAAAAACGACTTCAAATAATTTTCGTTCTTTATTCTCCAATTTTGTTTATTTATCAATAATAACAACTGATAACACCATAACGACTAACTACCCATAATTCTATGCTTCCAGGAAGGAGTTGTCAACCTAGTTTTTGGCACGAAATTTAAATAATTCTTACAATTTAAAGTAGGTATTTAAATTATGTTTTTTATACAAATTTCCTATTTCAAATGTACCAGCCTTTCTTACAATCAAAGTGTTGTAATGTCCTTGAATCTTTTGAAGCAGACTTATTTTATTTTACACACCCTGTACATTATGAGTTTAACGATCGAGCAGATGCTTTAGATTTGCCAAGTAACTTATCAGTTATTGTTTTTATTTGATATTTTTTAAAAAATGTCTTGGGCTTTGAGTGGTTTTTCAATGACAAAAGTAATCGAAAAGGTAGACAGAAGTGTAATTCACTTACAGTGCGCCATTGTTATTTATATTGTTGTTTTTTAGAAGGTTGTTAGGTTTTCCCAAAACATAATATTATTACTATCAATCATACAAAAAAGCAAACGATCTAGCTAGAGAAGAATAGCTAAGACTAGACCGGGGCCCGAATTCTGCAACTTAGAAAACGCTAAGCGCTGTTAGACGCTTAATTTTCGCTTAGCACGCACTCTAAGGACTCGAACCATAGACTTAAAATAAAATATAGACTACACTATTTACATCTCAACGCGGACAGACAATATTTTTTGTACACATGTTTACTTCTGGGTACAGTCGACCGAGCCTTCCTCATCCAGCCTATGTTGTCACGTCTTTAATATTATCAATATTTTTTTTCTTGTTATACACATATATTGAGTATTAATACTACAGATTAATAAAGTAGGTTTTTAATATTCCATGATGTATTAAATAGTCCTTATACTACTAAATTATAAGTCGGATACTGTTTAAAAGGATAAGTTCTTTTTCAATATGACAACACCGATTAGAGGCGAGGGAGCCTATTCATTCATTTATTACCTTGTAGTACGTGTCGCACGTGTGCGGTAAAAGCTTTGTTGCCGCTACCTCCCGGCTGTATTAACGCATTTTCTTAGCTTGTAGTCCTTAAGTGTTTATTTTATTGACTTTTTCTGTTCAAGAACTATAAAATATGGTTCGCCAGTGCCAAATTTGCAAGAAATTTGACTTAAATAATCCATTTAAGTCTTGAAACGACTTTTGACCGGTAGACAACTCTCAATTTACCCATTGGGAGTCAGTGTTGTAGAAAGGCGCTTATTTAGGTAATATTTTAGTAAAATGTAAAATCTGAATTTTTTCTCTTACATTACATTATTTACTTACTTACATTGTAACAAAATCATAATTATAACCCTGTTAATAATTAATAATGTTTTTTATTAAAATATATTCCGGTTTTATTCTAAAATTATCTTCAGAATCTAAAATAACATACAAGAATTTTAAAATGATATTACATTATGAAACAATATTTTTAATATACCGGGTCGTCTCAAAAGTGGCTCACCCCTATAACTTTTTATTTTTCAGATAAAAAAAAACAGATTTGTATGTTAGTAGGTATATGACATAAATTAGGATTTATTGACGTATTCAATTGTTTTGGTCTCTTCCTGTTTCACCGAAATGATTACATCTTTTGATTTTTTAAAGGCACCCTCGGTATATTGCTACTTTATTCGATAAAAAATGATACTCTGAATAGAATGACATATCATATGTCAACTTTTGACATTGTCGCTTAAAAAACAAATCCTATTTTAAATTTCAATCCAGGGTGCCATGGTGGTGTTAAAAAACACTAAGTTTTAATCAAGGAGCCTTGGAAAATAATTTTGATCGTCTAATGGGTTTCGTGTCTTGTCTAGGCCGGTTAAAAGATGTACAAATCGTATTTTTAATCATACATATGTCAATTTTTTCAAATGGAACAAGGGTGACTCATTAGCATATTTGGAAAAAGCATTTTTTTATGTATATATTGATACCACACACTTGGTATTTCGAGTCAAATTGTCGTTATGAACCGCGTGTTACAATTACAATTAAACCATAGGCGAAAATGTCAAAAGTTGACATATGATATGTATGTATACCAAACCAAAAATTATGGGGATGAGCCACTTTTAGGACGCACCCGGTATAATAAAGACATCACTTAACCAGAAAAAAATTTACAACAATCATATTTTTTTTCTCTCCCTGTCGCCGATTCTATTATATCTGTGGAATAGATCCTGTTTTGATTAATATTAGGGGTTGTAAATGTTTGAAATGACTAAAATTAATAATTTATTATTAATTTCAAAAATTACGTAATTTCGATTATAACATTTCTTCTATAACGTGTATTTTATGATTTTTATCCTTTTTGGACTCTAAGACGTTTTTTCTAAACTTTTATTTAAAAAAACTGTCCTAAATCTTAATAAAATATAAAAAAATTGAAATACGATATATTTTTAATTTAATTATTGCTTCATTAAAATAAAAAAAAAATACCCGGCTATGATACGGAGAGTTCAGGTGTACTTGAGAAACGAAAGACAGTGTTGCGTTTCTCGGCAGAGTCGTCAGGGAACGACCGTTACGACAGAGACAACCTATCTATCGCTCGTGTCGCACTCGTTATAACCTAAAACAATAACACAACAATAACAAGACATTGTCTGACCGCATGTTCCAGCTATTTATGAATGAGATGCTCAGTCTATATTTTATTTTAAGTCTATGGCGCTATATCATTTGATTTAATGGTTTTAGAGATAGCTGCGGCCTGGCCGGTGCGACCTGGTCGTCAGTGTGTTCGAGCCCTTAACTACCGATTTTTAACTTAGATTTGGATTTTTTGGAAAAAAATCTTGAATTTTTTTATTTTTACTTAAAAACCCTAATATTTATAAAAAAAATACAAAAAAGATCAGGTTTCAAAATTTAAGCAAAATATTTTTTTTTTCAAAAATTACTTATTTGAAAGATAAAATATGTTTCTTTTATCGAGATCTACCAACACCGAAAATAATTGCATTTATTTAAGACTCATCCTGTATAAATAAAACACATTGTTTGTTGATTTTTTTTAATTTTATTTTAATACTTAATACAAAAAATTCGATCTATTTAGAACCTGTTAAAATCTGGCAAGGCAACCACAGCATCACTTTCAATGTTACACTCATTTGTACCTCTTAATATTCTGAAGTAACCGTTTTCACCCCATTTTTCGTTCCAGGAATTGGCTACCAGCCAGTATTTTACGCTGTTTTCCACACCCCAGCCAAGAATTTTCACTGCATGCTCACCAACATGTGAACCGTTCACGTACTGATAGATTCCTAAAATCAAAAAAACATACTTATTTTCTTTAAAACTAACTTACTTAATCTTTTTATTCAAAGATATGTCCCAATAACACGCATTTTCCATTAAAATCAATGAAATGTCGTATGATCGAAAAAAAACGGCGTCAAAGAAGGCTAGGGAATGATAATAGGTGTTAATTTTGGAAAGGTCAAGCCCTAGACGTCATTTACTTTGCCCGTTCTTCTTTATTCTTTAATGGTTTTTACAGTTGGTCTTAGGAAGTTGTAATTTATTTCTATATTGAGTAATGATGAGTTTTAAATGTATATATATGTTCCCGTCATCCCTTCGTGGGACATAGGACTTCTAAGAGATGTTTCCATCTGATCCTATTCTGAGCTGTCTGTTTGATCTCTCCCCATGTTTTCCCGACCTCTTGGGCTTCAGAGGTTACTGTTCTTCTCCAGGTATTCCTTGGTCTTCCCCTGGCACGTCTTCCCTGTGGATTCCATTCAAGTGCCTGTCTAGCTGATATCTCTGTGGGGTCTGCGCAAAATGTGCCCAATCCAGCCCCACTTTCTTTCTTAATTTCGATATCTATTCGATTTTGTGATCTTCTTCTCCACAGTTCTTCGTTGTTAATTTGATTGGGCCAGAAAATTCTCAATATTCTTCGAAGACACTTGTTAACAAACACCTGTAGGCGATCCATGAGACCACGCGTAACCTTCCATGTTTCGCATCCATAAAGCAAAATAGATTTGACATCCATAAAGCAAAATAGATAGACATTGCTATTGAAGAGCTGGACTTTAGTTTTTTTGCTATATATAGAGGAGTTCCACACAGGTGTAAGCATGCCAAAAGCTCTTTGTGCTTCCAAAATCCTTTCCTCTATATCTCTCTCTGTGCCCCCATCGCTGTGAACCATACTTCCCAGGTACTGAAATTCATCAACTCTTTCGATGGCTCGATTGGAGAGGTATAGATCTTGGTTGTTGGGAGTATTTGACCTCATTTCTTTGGTTTTCGCCACGTTGATTTGAAGACCGACATTATTAGCTTCCTCTTGGAGTCTAAGAAGTTTTTGAGACATATCCGAATGTGAATGGGAAAAGATGCATAGATCGTCTGCGTAATCCAGGTCTTCTAGCCTGCTTAACAGTCCCCATTGTATCCCTAGTGGTTCTGTAAATGCTCTATTTAGTGCTACATCCAGAACGATGTTAAAAGAAAACTATAGAAATCGCAAAACAATTTCCGATAGACGTCATCAATCATATCGAAATTGACAATAAAGCTTATAAACCTGACTGAATGAAATATTGGCAAAAATGTTTTATTTTTTGTAAAATTTAAGATACGAATTTTATTAGAAGAATTTTATTTATCGCTATGTTGGCCACATTGCGCCGCGTTGTCGTTTATTATTTGACAATTATCATAATGTGAGTCATTATTTTGTACAATATCGTGTTGTTGTTGAATATTTGGGAGTAATTCTCGTTTTTTTACCGATTTTCATAGTCTTTTTTTAAAAACTGTACTTTTAAGCACAAACAGTTCTTTTAAGAACTAAATTTTCGAGTTTTTACTACCACTATTATCGTTTAAACTAACCTGATTGATAAGAGACGAAATCTTGAAAAACGTTGAAAGAGCCTTCAACTGGTCCGTTGGTCAAAATTTCTTGCTGAATTCGTGATTCTGACGAAAATCCCTGTATTCTCTGGCCATAGGTGTATTGCGAATTGTAGTTAAGTGAGTTGTCATCACACTGTTGTACGCAAGATGGAGTCCGAACACTTCCAGAACAGTTGGAGGGCTGGCCATCACAACTGGGCAAGAAATATGACTTGCAACCCTATAAAAATTTATCAGTTGACTATATATTTATTCAACTACTTTGTCATGAATGTTATTCAGTTAGTTGTATATGACCTTCTTTTTGTTTAGGTTTAATTAAAAGAAAAATAATAAAAAACTGTATCTATACTATACTTACTTGAGAGGTGTTGTTGTAAAGTCCTCCAGATACATAACCAAATTGATTCCATTGGCTCCAAGGGTAGTCAATGTTACCCCCCTCGCATCCAAAAATGAAGGAGCAAGTTAAAACATCTTGGGAAGAGACCAGAATTTTTTTCGTAGCGTTTGAGTGAATACAAATACGGTCAGACATAGTTTCAGCAGCTGCAAACGCCTAAATATATTGAAAAATAACAATTTTATACATTGCTACAAGTTATGAAAAATAATTTTTGATATTAAGTAATGAATAAATAAGTTGATGTCATCACGAGATCTAAAATGGGACCATAATTAGAAATTGTTGAATAAGATTGCGAGTAATTACCCAAGAAGCACTGCATTGTGATTGGTCCCTGATCAAACCGATGACGTCAGCACAGTTAGGCCAAGCCTCCCTTGCATCAAAGGACTCAGGAATGTCATCAGAAACAGCGTCAACATTGAAGGCTAAAACTTCTCTATTTCTGATTCCTTTTGATCCGGAAGCCAGAATTTTCACCAATTCGTAATCTTCAATTTCGAAATTCCTTCCAGCTTTCCATGTTGATTGTTGCGCGTTGATTTGTTCGATGAACTCATCAGAGAGTGGATGGAGAAATTCACTAGCTAAAACTGCAGAAAGAAATGCTACTACAAACATTAAGCTCTTCATTTTGGATTTGAAATGATATACTGAACCAGTATTAAACGTATGTTTATCTTTTATATATATCTGCCCAGTTCAGTGTCAAAGAATTTTTGTGTAATTCTCAAGTGGTTCTTCAGGTGAGACAAATTTTTGCGCGTATACTGATAAAAAACTATTCAAACTAGGGTTGCCTGGTGACATTTATCATACTTTTGGTATTTTTTGTGATAATGTGAGTTTTTGAGTGTTTTTTTTATGAAAAAAAGTCAATAAATCTGGAGATACACGTTCTGAGATACTGAGTAATTACATAATTTTTGATTTGAATTGATTTGTATAAGTAGTTTTAAGTTTTCCAGAACATAATATTGTTATTAGAAAGATGATGATGAATATATATGTATTGAATTTTATTGTTTACTAAATTCGTACTACCACAGATTATACAGATTACAAACTTTGTTTTTTCTTTATTGTTTTTCGTGGTTCCAATTTTCGGAATCGGGCACTAGTTAGTTTACTAGTTAGCGCATATAGCACGCCCACTTATGGCCTCTAAAATTGTGCACAGCGCCTGACCGGCACAGTTATTAGAGAGATATCGGAAAACCGAATAGCGTCATACAGTATTTACGCGTACCTTATCATGGTTACGACACGGCATATAAATCACACGGCAGGCCAACTCGCTTTGGCGGGAACGCTACGCGCATACCCTTGCGCACACCGCCATTATGGGTGCCAGCCACAGAAATTAACCAGTGTCGTAGCCAGTCGTAGTCTTTTTCATCGACAACATACAGTTACGGCAGCTTTGAGTCAGTAGCGTGCGGCTTAATTTATTTCATTCTTTTCTTGAGCGATATATTTTGTTTTTTTAGTTTTATTTTTGTTTATTGTGTGATATATTTGGTTTTTGTAGTTTAGTAGTACAATGGAAGTCCGAAATTCTTTTAGGTTTAATACTCAATCATTGTCTACGGCATTCAAAGTAATTTTTATTACTAGGTATCCTGCAAAATGACAAAAAAAAGATTCATTTCTAAACTACTGTTTTTCTGATTATAGGTATCTATTTTTAATTTTTATGGATAGCTCATGACAATTCAGAGAGAAAAGAACAGAGGTCTCGTTGTTTTTTTATAAGGTCTGCCGGTTTTAATAAGAAGTTTGCCAGATCATTTTGGCAATTTTCAGTACCTGTGTGTAATATTCGGACACAAAGTTTTTTAAATGTTCTTCTAAACTCGATAAATTTATCCTGGATGGGAATAATGATAGGTTTACAAGATATTGGAATTACAGGAATTACAAGATGAAGTTGTCGTACCAGATTTTTATGAGTGCAACTGTACACTCAAATCTCGCGACAAGCTTTTATATAATATAAAATTGTGTAATGACGTTATAAGTTCATAATAAAAGTTTTAAAGAAAAAGTTTATTTTTTCTTTTTAATGTATTTAAATAAAAGCTTGTTTTTAAAAAGGTTTTTTTCTTAAATTTATTTTTTACTTTTTAACCCAAGCAGCATTTGGACGTCGGGACAACGTTGTGTCACGCGACCAAACGTCGGGGCGCAACGTCGGCACAACCTCGTGCCAACCCTAGTCTGCACTAGTTTGGAGAATAATTTTTGGGTCGAAACGACGTTGGATACCGACGTTGGCTAGAAGCCTAATTTAGTACAAACTGCAACGTTGTTTAAAATCCTAATTCACAGAAATACAAAACTAATATGGCGTCTAAGTCGCGTTTTATCCTAAATTGGGATAATTATAGTAAAAATATTATTTTTATGATTTAGTTAGAGACATATGTCAGATGGCAGTGAAGGAAAACAAAACAAAAGTATTTAAATGTGGAGGATGTTTGAAGGTCATAATTATTGAAACACTTTAACCGACTCTGTAACTCGTTACCCAAGGCAAAAAAGTTAAACGTAAACAACTTTATTGATAAATGTATTGTTTCTACTTTGAAAAATACTAATGGGCCTTAAAATTAAAGAAGTTTTAAAAATTTTCTTGAATTTTTTTTTTAGTAAAATGAGAATAATTTATTCGCAGTCGAAAAAATTGGTTCCACGTGTTTTTTAAGGTCAAATATTTCAAGTTAATGTATTCAAAAAGCAGGAATTGCTATTTTAGGAACGAAACATTTTCTTATTTAACAACATGGCGGCTTTCACTTTGTTGTTTTGGAGATTAAGATGGAGTAGTTCGAGTAGTCGCATACTGGACTAATAAAGTCGCAGTTCGGCCTTAACAGGTAGTATACTAGTCGCAAGATTGCCTAATAGTCATCCTAGAGTCTAGCTTGTGCCGCCCTCTATAATCTAAATAAACGAGGGAGTGGATAAACTATCGGTAATATATGTCGATATATATTTAAATTTAGTTTTATATGTACCTTTCTTATGTCCCATTTTAATTAAGTTTTTTTTATAAAAACAAAAACAGCACTGATCTGTCTGACTGAACAGAACAATGAAGTGAAAATTTAAGATTTAAGGTTATGGTTCAATACAGTTGCAAAAAGGTAGTGACTCAACGTCCTACCAACGTAAGAATAAGGAAATCTAAACAACGTTGGAATTAGTAAAACAAACGACGTTTGCATAACGTTGGAATAGGTCCTGAAACTGACGTCGGAAAACTCTATATTGTCCAACGTTGTAACTACGTTGTCCGAATCACCTAAAGATTACTTAAGCAAAAAAGGTTACAAGACAACGTTTATTCGACGTCGCAGAAGCTTCCTACTTTGCTGTAGTACTAGTCCAACGTCGGCACAACGTTATAAAAACGTTTAAATTTATTTTAATACCCAAGGTAGGGAGCTAACTATTTTTTGTAACTAATCCAACGTTGTGTTTAGTAAACATGTGGTCGCAAGTCGTGAAAATGCTACTTGGGAAGTTATGCTGGTTTCTCAGTACCCCACACTTAAACTCAATTCTTTTTCTTAAATAACTTCCTAAGACCTTCTTAATAATATCTAGTATGTGTATGGATTTTCATAAGAAAAATGCGTGCAACTTTTAATGCGCATGCGCAAAGTAAGGTCCTCGAGAAAGACAAACCTATTGAACGTTTCATACGTGCAATAAAGAAGGTTTGAAAATGGCATGTCGTGATGTTGGAGACATATTTTTTAATGCTAAACTTAGGGCATTAATAATTTATCCACGTAAATATGATCTAGGGTTAATACCGTATAATTGAAAAAAAAACGGCGCGGCGTCCGGTTTGCTTTGAAATGAACATCGATGACATTCCCCATATTAAATGATATCGATCTTCATTTCATAGCCATCGTTGACGCCGTTTTTTTCTTCGATCATATTGTACTCCTTAAGCATTTTTCATGTATTTTTGGGTAAGTGTGCTACATTATTGAATTTTAGAGGTTATAACATTTTAAAAATTTAATTAAAAAAATATAGGTCCATATTTAAAAAAAAAAGTTGATGATGGTATCTTGAGAACGAAACGTCGCATTGAAAAGCTGATATCATTAACTTATAGAGCAGAAGGGAATGTGAAATAGTTAATCTCATATCTTTACAAATAGAGTCGGAATAGAGTAAAAACGAAATCGGAAAAGTTCGGTTTTTACCGAATATCTTCGGAAGTAATCGGATTTTTTTAAATTTCAAAACATGACGTTGTAGGATTCAACAAGATGCAACTTTTCTCTCATTTAACCATTTTTCTACCTCTTCTGGTTTACGAGATACCTATGGTGTAATATGAGACCATATATATTTTGTCCGCTCTGTATATATTTCATTGAATTCAGAGTTCAAAAATCAAAGAAATAAGAGTCAAAAACCGTTTTTTTTCGTTAATACAATAACCTAAATATTATAAAAATAATTTTTGGTAAAGTTTTCAATATAACCAAATACAATTTTTTTAAAAATTCGAAGAATATATTATATTATTTCAAAATATATACAACCAAACATATTTAATATGCTATTTCACATTATTTAATTATAATTTACCATGAAAACCTTAACAATATTACATAATAATACAAAAAGACAATTTTAGAATCGACCGCATCAATAAATCTCTTAATATTATTCATTTACTTAACTTAGTTGGCTTTGACTTGGTATCCAAGCAACTCTCCGAGTTTGACAGGTTAAAAAAAGCGACTGTTTTTCTAGGTTTGTTGAAAATTGACAAGAAAGCTGCATAGAAAATGTTAATTGATTTATTTTACCGTTGCTAAATAAAGTTTTGAGCGTGAATTAGTAAAAATTGTGAATAATTAGTGTATTTTTTGTGATTGCTTTGTGATATTCTGGATAAGCATGGATTAAAAAGGTAGGATGTTGTTATTGTATGATATTTTCGAGTTTATTTGTGTTTAAAACATGATTTTAAAGTTTTATATCGGGATTTTCTTTCAGAGAGTCAATTTTTAGCGTGATTAATCATTGAACTAGTTCAATATAAGTTTAAAAACTTATATCAAAAATATTACTCATTTCTGTTCAGAATCATATGAAATATATTTTTTTCTATTTTAGCAATTATGTAGGTAATTATTTTTACTGTATGGCACAGTCAATATGTGCTTATAGTTAAAAACGTATACATAGTGCCCCGATATTGCGTGGACATAGAACTGTTATATATTTTTTGAACCAAAATAAGTTCATTGGACACAATAATTGAGGGGTGTAGTAACAAAAAGTACAATCTCCTTCTGTGTCAGTTTTGAGAAAATCACGAAAAACTCTTATAAATCAAAATATAGATGCAAACATATTTTTCAATGGCTCTACAGTTTAAGATAAGTACTTAGTACATCATGCTACAAGAAAAATAAAAAAATATTGCGGATTAACTTCGAAATTTAAAAATTTAATTTGGAGATTGTACATTTTGAAACTAAACTGTGGAGATTGTACATTTTGAAATTAAACTGTAGTAATTGACCGACTTAACAGCAAAAAATAATATCGACGAAAATAAAGTAGTTTATTCAAATGCAAAATATCTTATTGTTTAGGATTCAAACTATACTTTCTTATCTAAACTTTAAATCTAATTAAGTAAATCTTAAACTCTCACGCTGGGTCCCTCATCAAAATACTCGCAAATTTCTTCTTCTCCTTTATGCTCCTCAGACTGTTTTTCTGCCTCATCTAGAACGAACTTATAAAATTCCAAATCTTTATCTTCTTTCCAGTTTTCACCATAATGACCTTTAAGCAAAGCAGTGATGGTGCGAATTTTTTTTTCCTTTATCACGTTTTGTTTTTCAGTAATATTTGGGACAGTATCACCTAAACGTTCGTTGCCTCTTTTGCAAATCGGTTTATCAGCACCTAAGTCACTCTTATAGGTAACTTCTCCACGTACCTGGATTCCGTGCCTCAATCCTTTGGTAATTATTATTCGCTAATATTTTTAGATTAATTAACCTTCAGTAAAAATAATAGATTTTTAGTAAGAGATAAAAAAAAGCAACCTTACGTTACAATATTAGGGAAATTGGTTGAGGAGAATAGGTTAAGTAAATCAAACGCTAAATTAGTAAATATCCTTACTTATTTTATTAAATGAAACGAAAGAAGTTCCTGGAATTCACAAGTAAAAGACCACGCCAGAGAAAGCCTTGATAAGAGGTTTTTAGTTAGCAGGTTCTTGCAGGTGAACACCCTCATGTTTGGTGCCAATATCTTTAGACTGTGAGTTATTCTATTCTTTGGTTTTGACTGCTCACATTGTTTTCGAAGATATTCGCCCAGTCACGGGGTTCGCAAATATTAGTAACAAGGCCCTTATTCTTAAGGCGGACTCTCACGACTCGTCTACTTGGTAAGTATCCCCACTTGGTAAACAACATTGGCAAGTGTGGCGCTCACACGATTTGAACGATTTGAACTAGAGTCGATTCCAGTCTAGGTAGGTATTTTCGTTTTTTAAGCCTCACTGTCAGAATTCCGCGATATTTTGATGGCTTCAAGGAGATGAACTATACACGAACTTCTTAATTTTACTAAAACATTAGAGAGAATATCGATATCCAGCCTCTCTATAATCGGAATACTTAGGACCATTTTTACAAGAAAATGGTCAGTTTCGCACGTTACATCTTTGACTGCTTCTACATTTTTAACATCCCATCTCGTATCCTCTTTTATGCCGTAATCCACGATAGACTTATGCTCGTTATTTTTTCTCTGTCGGAAAGTGTATTGAATTTCGTCATGCTGAAAAAATCCGTTTTGTATCTTCAAGTTGTATTCCGTGCAGAATTCGATCAGTCTGCGTCCGTTTGAATTCAGAGTCTCTTCGCCGTTGGGTCCCACGATTCTGTCATTCTGCTTTCTACCAGTTCTGGCATTGAAATCTCCCAACAGAATGACTTCAGTTTCTCGATTCTCTTTGACTTTTTTTAAAGTTTCTCTGAGGTTTTCAAAAAATATATTTTTTTCTTCTGATAGGCTGTTCTCAGTGGGACCGTATATAGCTACGATACACAGATCATACCCATATAACTTGAGGTTGACGGTCAGTATTCTCTTACTGACTGGTTTCCAGTCGGTGATCTTATCCTTGAATTCGTCACTGATTAGAACTGATACACCCTGAGCAGCTCGACGCGCACTTCGGTCCTTTCCGCTATATATGTGAACAAAACCTTTCAATTGTTCCTTACCATTGCCTTTTTTCTTTGTTTCTGCCAGAGTCAAGATTTTTATTCCGGTTTTTTTCATGTCATCCATAATCGTATTTATTTTTGAAGCGAATCCGCCTCCTATGTTCCAAGTACCGACATTCAATTCTACGCTTCGTTCCCGCTGCATTTTGCTCGGAACTTTGCACTATATACCGAGTTGTTTTATTTAGAAAAACTAAGCGCTTTATAATAAGATTGCTAAGTTGTTTTAAAGGCACTAAAACTCTTGCTTTTGAAGTATACTTTCGAATGCGTTAGGGATGACAAAATTTATATCCTAAAATTACTTATAGATAATATTTATCAATAGTTCTGTAACTATATTCATAGAAAATAGATTTACTAAACAATAAAATCTACTAAAAATATTATATCTAATCCAGTTTTTTATAACTGAATATATATATAATAGCACAGATAACAATATGTTATTTGTGATAATAGTAGTACGATTATATTTTTCCTGGATATCAATTTTTATATTTATTATCTGTAAATTATTGTTTTTTGTATTCTACAGTTTTTAAATAAAGTAATTAGAAACTTATTTTTTTCTTTTCTTGAGTTATAACTTATCATAGAGTCCCAGGGCTTTCACAAAAGTCAGTATTTGAGACGGTTTGGTAGTTCTCCAGCGGACTTTTGCTGTCTGCTTTTTCTGTAACACCTATTTTTTTTTAATTCAAACCAATTAGTAGATTCTACGCAAATTATATTATTTTGTTTTATAGAAAATTAAGCGTGGTATCAGTAAACTATTATTGTTAATTGTTTTTTTTATAAAGATTTAGAATTAAACAAAAAAATCACATAGGACTTAGTACTCAAACATTTTTGCACTTTCCTTTGTTGTTAATAAAACAAAACCCTATTATTAAAATAAATTAATTTAATATAAATTTGAAATTATTTAGATTACGAATTACAATGACTCATAGTTACAATAAAATATTGTCAAAGTAATTTATATTAATATCTTTATAAATGATTATTAGTAATTAGTAGTTTAAAAATAAAAAAAAAACTGGTCGGTTTTCATATTATTATATATCATAGAGAATGATAAAAAATCATTGTCAGTGTTGGCTTGGAAATGATGATCGTTGTCATTCTACTAAGTTTAAACACCATCCGGGGACCTACTATTTATTTATGTACAAAAGTAGAGTGGAGGGAGGTTCGCTTGGAGTTCGATACGCTTCCGCTTTGAGAGCCAAACAACCCGTGTGCGCAGGGTCTTAGGGAAATTTGAGGACAATAGGTTAAGTAAATCAAACGCTAAATTTGTAAATAGCCCTACTTATTTTATTAAATGAAATAAAAAGAGTGCCGTCCTCAGCCTGGAATTCACAAGTAAAAGAGCACGGCAGAGAAAACCTTGATCACTATTCCAAAGAATCCAATTATGCTGTTCTGAACTTTAATAAAAAGGTAATAATAATAAAAAAAGATACTGTCTTCATACCAATGTTATGTTAACTGAAGTGGTTTTTAGTTAGCACATCTGTATCACAGGGTACTGGGGTTCCTGCAGGTGGGGATCCTCATATTTGGTGGCAATATCTTTAGACTATGAGTTATTCTATTCCATGGTTTTGACTGCTCACTTGTTTGCTAAGATATTTGCTCAGCCATAGTTGGAAAATACAATATGAAGGGAAAAAAAACGGCATCAGCAATGGCTATGAAATGAACATCGCTGTCTTTTTATATGTAAAATTATATGGGGAATGTCATCGATGTTCATTTCCAAGCCAACTGAACGCCGATTTTTTCATTATCCGGTATAGCATCCAGAAGAATACGGTAATAGTACACTCGACAAAGGCTCTATTTGTTACACTAAGCCATACTGAACCAAGGCAAACATAGGCAAAACATAGGCACGAATGGACAGTAAAACATAGCATTTAGATTTAATTTTAAACTAGAAATTATTTACAGTTACAGCATAAATGGAGTCCATTAAATACATACACATTATAATATATAATAACTTTGTCAGATGAAATGAATAATGAAAAACTTTAGCACAGAATATTACAACCTGAAAATAAAATTATAGTTTAGTTTACATTAGTTAAATAATGAGGAAACATTTACATTTAATAACATTCTTTGTCAATATATCTAAATAAGGGTCGTCTAAAAACTATTGTCTAATACCTATTGTCTAAATTCCCTCTTTCTAGCTTGCATATAATTATTTTAAAAATCATTAATGCTTTTTGTATGCAGAGTGCCTAAAAATTGCATGTTTTCCATAGAATTAAATGTTTATTTTTAAATAGGTGTGTCATCTGGAAGCCTTCCTTTATGGTATAACTTTGCATTGTAATTTATCACTTCTAGTTATTACCTAACAAGGACATCCCTAAAAAATAAGCAGTGAGATTTACTTTATAATATTATCTAGTATTTTTATGATTTTAATATTCACTTTTTTACTCCATTCTCAAGAAATTTGTGCTGAAAATTTGTGATTTTATTTGATCATCATCGGTTATTCAACCAACCAATCCTCACTTACTGGCAATTAATTAATTTCTGGGTCCATATTTCCCCAAATTATTCTTGTAGTATAGGTATTATGATAAAACAATTTGAATGTTATTTTATTTTAACTAATTTCTTAAAATATATTTATGATAAAACAATTTAAATATTATTTGATTTTAACTATTTTTTAAAATATATTTTTTTAACTAAACTTACTTAATTAGTTTTAAAGCATTAAATTATTATTCATTTGAAAAATTAGTGAGTAATAAAATATTATGGATTAAGATAAGTGCTAGAAACAAAACAGATAGATAAGTTACTGGACATTCAAATATAGATAATAATTAATAATTTTCGTATAGATTATTAAATATTAATATTTTGTTAGAAAAGGTTGATATGATAAAGCAAATAATATACAGGGTGAGTCTTAAATAAGTGCAAATATTTTCAGGGCTAGTATTTCAACTCCAGAAACACATCTATTGTAATCGCAAAACATTTTCCGATGCACGTCATCAATCATATCGACATTGACACTATAAAGTCTATGAACCTGACTGAATTAAATTTTGGCAAAAATTTTTGGTTTAAATTTGTTGTATAATTAAATTATACAGCGATACCGAGCAGCTCTTCATTCTACTTTATAGAGCAAATGATTGTAACAGATATTTTATTTAGATTAAAGCTCCAAAAATTAGTTTAAACCAAATTTTATTATCGCTACGTTGGTCACATTGCACCGTGTTCAGCAACGTTGTCGTTTATTATTTGACAATTATCCTAATGTCAGTCATTATTTTGTATAATATCGTGTTGTTGTTGAATCTTTGTGAATAATTCTCGTTTTTTTTTTCCTATTTTCATAATCTTTTTTTAAAAATTGTACTTTTAAGCAGATCAGTTTTGAACAGAACTGTGTGTTTTGAAAATATGCCGAAGCATTTAAATAGTCGAAGTAATGAGCTTTTAGCTTTCCTGATAAACTATTTTGAACGAAAACGTGACAATAAAGGTCCTTTATTACCCTTGACTTCAGTCAGAGAAGTAAGTTTGATTGATAAGCACATTCAAAGTTATTTCTATACGTTAGTTTTTAGTAAATTCTGTGATTATTAGTTTGTGCATTAATAGCACCCTCTTGTTATTACCACTGATGGCGTATACATCAATAAATAAATAAATAACCCATAATAACGTTTAGAATAATCTTCATAATGGCCTAGTTTTTGCCAATATGTAATAAGTAAAATAAGCTGTAAAACAAATAAATCAATTAATTACTAAAATATTAGTTATTAAATTAAAAATAAAACGTAAAAAAAATATATTGTTTGTCACTTTTAAATTAAGATTCATCTCATAAATCCATCACAATCTGGCAGCGCTGTCGCCATCGCTTGTCACTCAAAGTTGATCACGTGCATCCGAAATTGTTTTGACATTACCATATGAGGTTTTATTCGCGAAAAAAAAATTTGAAAATTAGGAATTTTTTGAAAATTTTGTTGGATTTTTTAAAATTTTTTGTTAAAAAACATAATATCTTTATAATATGGCAACACGGGTAGTACATTAAATTTACAAGAAAGAAAACCCAGAAAAGATCCAGTGGTTCTCAAAATTTAAGCGAAAAATCAATTTTTTGGAAATTTTCAAAGTAAAATATATCTGTTATTTTGAACTTATTTGAAGAACGGTAAAGAGAAAATATGTTTTTATTTTGTCGTAATCTACTAGACCTGCAAATATTTACACTTATTTAAGATTTACCTTGTATATGTATGTAATGCGATAGTTTAATTTCCATGTACTATTCGTTTTTTAAAATATATTTTTGACAGCATTAAATATATTAGCTACAATTGTTACGATATCTGGCGGATTTCTAGATGATATTCTCAAATTTGCTAAATCTTCAGAGAGAATAACGGAATCCCGCCTCTCTGGAATCGGAATCTTTATTGCCATTTTTACAAGAAAATGGTCAGTTCCACACGTTACATCTTTAACTGTTTCCACATTTTTAACAGTCCATGTCGTATCTTCTTTTATACCGTAATCTATGATCGACTGATGCTTCTTATTTTTTCCGTGTCGGAAGGTGTATTGAGTTTCGGGATGCTTAAAAAAACCGTTTTGTATCTTCAAGTTGTATTCCGTGCAGAGTTCGATCAGTCTGTGTCCGTTTCTGTTCGGACTCTTTTCGCCGTGGGGTCCCACGATTCTGTCATTCACCTTTTTTCCTATTCTGGCATTGAAATCTCCCAACAGAATGACTTCAGTTTCTCCATTCTCTTGGGAGTCTTTGAGAGCACTTAAAGTCTCTCTGAGGTTTTTAAAAAAAATGTTTTTTTCTTGCTGTAGGTCGTTCTCAGTGGGGCCGTATATAGCTACGACACATAGATTATAACCATATAGCTTGAGTTTGACGGTCAGTATTCTCTTACTGACCGCCGTGTGTTTGATGATGTTATTCTTGAATTCATCACTAATTAGAACTGATACACCCTGAGCAGCATGACGTCGCTTTTTTCCGCTATATATGTGAACAAAACCGTCCAACTGTTCCTTACCAACGCCTTTTTTCTTCGTTTCGGATAGAGTCAAGATTTTTATTCCGGTTTTTTTCGCGGCATCCAGTATCTCATTTATTTTTAAATCTAACCCACCTCGTATGTTCCACGTACCAAAATTCAATTCTACGCTTTCGGCATTTTGAATCGGATTTACGTATGGTCTTTTCCTTCTAAATTTTCGTGATCGCTTCATTTTGCTCGGAACATTGCACTATATACCGAGTCGTTTTATAAAAAAAACTAAGCGCGTTATAAGATTGCTTTAAAAGTACTAACCGTTGTTTTAAAGGTACTAAAACCCTTGCTTTCGAAGTATACTTTCGCATTGGAGAATTCATTAGGGATGACAAAATTTATATACTAAAATTACTTATAGATAATGTTTATCAACAGTTCTGTAACTATATTCAAAGACAATAATCTACTAAAGGTATTAGGTATATTTAATCCAGTTTTTTATAATTGAATAGATATAATCGTAGAAAAGTATAGATTATTTTTTCTGGATATCAGTTTTTATATTTATTATTATTTGTTATCTGTAAGTTATTGTTTTTTGTATTCTACATTTTAGGAAGTAATGAAAAACTTATTGTGTACCTCTTTCTTGAGTTATAACTTCCAGAGCTTTCATACGAACACTACAGAACTTCAATACGCCGATGATTGCGCTCTAGATAGTTGCAAAAACGTTACAGCAATTACAAGAAATGTGGAACGCATATACCTGGGCATACGAGGCTTTGGGTCTTAAGCTAAACATCGACAAAACTAAAATAATGTGCACTCTCCCAGAAGATTACCACAATGCTATAAAAATCGGAGAAGAACTATTGGAATATGTAGCGGAATTCAATTACCTCGGCAGTTTGATTTCGGAAAAGGCCAAAATCGACTCTGAAATTCATCACAGGATTAGCAGCGCCTCATGAGCATTCTGGAAATTAAGAGACAGGGTTTTCTACAATCATGACTTGAGCACAAAAACGAAACTTGCGGTGTACCGAGCGATAATAATTCCCACCATGTTATATGGAAGCGAAACCTGGGTGCCGTACCGCCGACACATGAACGCATTAAACAAGTTGCAACAGAGACAACTTTTAAGAATCCGATGGTTCCATCACGTCTCAAACGTATCGATCCAGCTAACTGCGAGAGTATTAAAGTCATGGTTACAAAATCCCGCTTAAGATGGGCTGGTCACGTATGCAGAATGCAAGAAAACCGCATACCAAAATCTCTGCTTTACGGTGAGCTTGTAGACGGTAAAAGGAGGCCGGCTGGACAAGTCAAAAGGTACAAGGACATTTTCCATCAAAACTTAAAAGGGATTAATATGCAGAATGAGTGGGAAGAAGCAGCTCACAATAGAACGCAATGGAGAAGAATTGTAAACTCAGTTAACAGCGATAACCAAAAAGTAAAGAGGCAACAAAGCAATGAGATTTTTGAATGTCCGGAGCGCGGTAGACAGATAACATTACGTATCGGGCTTTTCAGTCACAGAAAAGCATGAAAGAAAAAGCCTTGCGTGATCATCTCCTGATGCGTGTCAAATACTCGTCAGCGAGTAATGGCAGTATGTATGTGTATGTAAAACGGTTCTGCTCCAGTTAGTGAGGTATTCGCTCCTTTTCTAGGTAGATCGTTTGCTTTTTCACTGCTTTTTCATTGCCTCCGATAGTTCCTATCTAAGATGAGTTGTACGCATCTTTCGATAGCGTATATTTCTGCCTGAAGGATACTGGAATACTCCTATCCCTGTTCCTTCTTTGACTGCTAAGCTTATAACTTATGATGTCTGCTTTTTCTGTAATTCCTATTTTTTTTTAAATTCAAATCAATTCATATTAATTTCGATTTTATGACATATTTTTTTAAAATTAATTCGTAGATTTTACGCAAATTATATTATTTTGTTTTATAGAAAATTGAGCATGATATCAGTAAACTATTGTTAATTGTTTTTTATAAATATTTAGAATTAAACAAAGAAATTCCGAAGTACTTAGTACTCAAACATTTATAATATGTACTTTCCTTGTTGTTAATAAAACAAAACCCTATTATAAATCATTGAATTTTATTAAAATTAAATAATTTAATACAAACTTGAAATTATTTAGATTACGAATTACAATGATTCATAGTTACAATAAAATATTGTCAAAGTAATTTATATTAATATCTTTATAAATAATTATTAGCAATTAGTAGTTTAAAAAAATAATAAAAAAAACTGGCCGGTTTTCATATTATTATATATCATTCAACGAAAAAAAAATCAGCGTCAGTGTTGGCTTTGAAACTATGATCGCTGTCATTCTACTAACATTAAGTATAAAGACCATTCGGGGACATACTGCATATGGTAAATTTCAACGATCGTCATTTCCAAGCCAGCTTTATTAAGCCAAAAATTTATGAAATACCTTGTTTATTATTTCCAAAAAAGTTTTTTGAAAATTATAATCCAAAATTATTAATTGAATTTTGTATTTAATCTTAACTGGTATTTTATTACACGAAATAAAACAAAGAATTAAAATAGTATAGTGAATAACCGTTTATTTTTTTACATTTATTGATTTTTGTATGGATTATTGTTAGTTATCACTAAGTATTGTTTTTATTTTTTTAATTAAACAAAGAAAATGCAAAATTAGTCAAAAACTGATGACTTTCTACTGATATAATTTAAACAAAAGCATATTATTTTATTAAGGAAGTTGGTATAAAAATATAATTTATTGTATATCTAAATAATTTATAAGAAGATAAAACTAATAAAACAAAAGTAAATTTATCATATATTTTTATTTAAATAAAGATTATTAAAAACTAATTATAATAAATTTATTTATAAATACTATAAACTAAGAAGTATTGTCAAAGTAATACTTAGATATATTAATATTTTGAAATATAAAATACATATACAAATATTTTTTATAACATTTAATATTAATTTATAATTTTGATCTTTTATAAATTATACTATACGGGGTGTTTCCCTGTACACTGTACAGGATATCCCAAATTAGAGGGTAATCATTTTATCTCTTATAGTTTTCCAGATTGCAATGGTCACAATGGACATACTGTATATAATGTAATAATAAATGTAATATATTTTTAAAATGGTAGTAATGCGACATCTGTTGTTAATTTACTTGAAAATTTCTTTCTGCAGGAATACTGAGATGCTGAATCAGGAGCACCAAAAAGTTACGCATTAAAGAAAAAATCCATGGTTTACAGATTACTTAATAAATCTCCTTTATACCACAACAATTGACAATTTTTTGACTAGATTGACTTTTATTCACTAAATTCGCTTCAATAATTTATTGACAACTGACTAATCATGATACAGTGGTGTGGAAGTTTGTCAAAAAATTATTGAATTGTTCTTAAGAGCTATATTGTTTTTTTTAAATACTGTTTAAACACACTTATACATTTAATACTTATTATGGTTTAATGGGGATAGAATAACATGATTTTTGAGAGCGTATTTTTTTAGTTTTAACATCTAAATAGGAATCATCTAGAAAACAGCAAATATAAAGATCTGTCCAACATAGTTGTTAGGAAAATTGAGAATTTTCTGTAATTTTTTGGATGTTGTCTGTCAAAACGTTACTTCGCTCACTGGACAGATCTTACCTTCCATTTCTTCAATACTACATCTGTCAAACACAAGTCTCCGACTCCTGCGGCTTGGTGATCTTCAACAAAGGCGTTGACTCAGCCCAAGTAACAATATCCTCACTGTCGCAAGAATATTTCGACAACAGCGCCACTTCCTGTCTTCTAGGACTGGTTGGTGCAGATATAGTTTGAGTTGGAGCCCCTGACGGCACTGACAAGTGACAGTACAGCGTCGGCACGCTGTAACAAATAGGTTTTGCCAATTTCTGATCGTCCGACAACAGCGCCATTTGAGCCAAAGCTGCCGCCGAGTTTGCCAAGTTTTCTATGCAAGGGCACGAAGTTGAGGATGTCCTCCAAATGTCTTGGCAACAATGTTGAGACAGGTCTATTTTGTGGGGGCTGTCGCTGATCGATTCGAGATATTGGCTGTCTGCTTGGGTTTGTTGGAGATCGACGCTGGCAAAACGGAGCTTTTTCGGACTTTCTAGAGATGAACAGCGTGGTAAAGGGCTTTTTAGGACGTTTTTGTTCTTGAGAGAGCTTCTCGTTACTGTATAATGGCCTAGAATGAAGGAACGTTCTGTATAATTATTGAAATGTTGTATAGATTTGTCTAGAATCAGTGTTTTTTAAACTGAGTTATAGATACGTTGATTAATTACACAGGCCGACATGATTTTTGTAACACGAGTCAGTTGCAGAATTTCTTCATAAAAATATGCTTCTAATAACAGAAAAAATACTCCTGAAGCTCCTACACGTACCACTTTTCAGTTGCCTAATTACGCCTCTTTTTTGCAGGTAGTCAATTTTATAGATGTCAGGTATTAAGTATAAATCCGTCATACGTCGTGTCTTGTTGTTTTTAACCAGTTTTATTGGTTTATTTAAAAAATGACAGATCGTATTTCAATTTTATTGGTTTGACGGAACGATGAACGAAAACGGACGCCGATGCGGATGAACTCGCCTTTAGATTTTTTGTCTGGGTTTTTGACGCTTGTCAAAGTCTTGCCAAATATAGGTTAGAATTTTGTGTCAACTTTGTTAAATACCCTGCGTTTTTGGAAGATGATGCATTTTGATTCGTATTATTACGTGTGTTTGTGTCTTTTTGAAGTCAAGTGGAGGAAAAATGCAGTGAAAATTAACTGTAGACCCAGAGCACAGTTTATGGTTAATATTCGCTGCCCAGGCAGAAAGTCTTATACACCAATGAAGTTGCCGTGGATAAAGTTTGTATACCATTTCGTCGTAGATAAGTGCATCTCGTATATGGTAGAAGGATCGTCAAACAAAAAACACATACTAAAAACTGGAGTAGCTGTAAAAATATCGACATCACACTATAGGTAAATAATGGATTTTAGTACTGCAGAAAAATAATGTCAAAAGGTACTGGTTTAAAAAAATTAAGATTAAAGTTAATTAATCAACCTTTTAAGGTATAAAATTTGGGTGGTGTTATTATTAATAAAATAGTTTGTTTTATTTACCTATGTTGTTTTTATTTATTCCTGTGGAATATTACAAATTTGTATTTGTAAATAAGTTATATTGATAAATATAATCATAAATGCGAGTAGTTTCATAAAGCTTGAAAGTAAATAATAGTTCTTTTTTTTATATTTTTTTTGGTATGTAGTGTCTTGTTCTTGTTTGTTTTTGTATTAACACATACCGTTTTTATTAAATAAAATAACTCGATTACATTTTTTCAGTTTTATACAGTTTTTTCACAATATTTTGAAGTAATCACTTGTCATCTTGTCAATCAAATTTTAAATATTTCCTGCTATGCGTTCCAGTTGTACCAACTTATTTCTTTGTAAAATAAAATAAACTACTTTGAAATTAAAATGACAGACACATCTATCACTGTCAAGGATCTTCTCGTTGGACAGACTATAGAAGAAAATCTGTTTTAGAGAACTTTATACAGATACAAGAACAAGTTTATTGGTTTTTGTGTTTTTTTTACCATTGCTGTCAGGATGTGACGTTCTCACAATCTTCCCACTTAATTCAGCTCTTCTTTTCTCACGAAGATCTTTTCTGATTCTCCTGAAATGCTGGTCTTCTCCTAATAACCAATAGGTCTGCTGGTTACCTTTGCCCTTCATGGTTACAAGTCCCCTCTCTACCAGTTGGTATCCTCCAAGTTTCGAGAGCAAATCTCTACAAGTCTTGCTACAGTGAATCTTTAGAGCTAAAAAAATAATTATTTTAAATCAAGTTTTTCTGTTTCATACAATTATATTTGTTTATTTACGTTGCCCTGTAGATTCCATTCTGCTGGCAGTGTTGACAGTGTCGCCGAATAGACAGTATCTTGGCATTTTCAGTCCTACTACTCCGGCACATACAGGGCCTAAAGAAATGTATCTGTATACAGGGTTGTTCAACACATACGACACGGAGTAAAAATTCACAATTTAAAAATAATTTTACAAGATACAGAGTGTCCCAAATAAGTTAAATAAAAATATCAAAGTTGTATAATTGTTGTAAAAATTTTAAGGCTTCATTTCTCCAAGGGTATCAAAGTTTTTAATACTAAATATTTACTGAAGTTTATTTACTGACCAGTTATTGTGTTGCAATAATAAAAATAATAATACCTTATACAGAGTGTCTAAAAATTTATTTTATATAATTATTAGCTTCAAACGGCAATAACTTGTTTAATTTAAATGGAACACCCTCTATGTTTTACGAGAATCAGATGCATAATTTAATTGTCTATCAAATTATATTATACCATTTTTTACCTATCTCTTTAAGTTTCCGTAGAAAATGCATTTTCTTGTAATTTAGAACTTATTTATCAATATACCCATGGACTATTGACATTTTAGATTATTTTTGTACCAAATTTTTGAAGAGTACAGATACTAATATTGTCGATATAATTCGTTTATTTCATTAAAAAAATATAAAAAAACTGTTTAAATATTTGTTAAAGAGGATCAATTAATATGATTCCAGTATTCAAACTACATTAACTGACTGTTTGCGTTGATTAATAATAATTGCTCCAAATACTAAAAACCTGAATTTTGTATGGGCATTAGACAGTGTGATAAAAAGTAACACCTTAAAAATGATATTTCATTTTTTAATAAATGCTTATTTATAACAACAGAGACTTTAATTTGATAACTTATTATTATATTGATTTCTGACTCAAATCCTTTTCTGACTCAAATCCGTTAATCCTTTAAACATTTATTTATAATAATTTATTAACGAACACAATTAAGTATGTAATTAATTAGTATATGGGCGGAAATAATGGTGTTATATTTAATTAATGGTATACTCTTTTATAAAGATTTAAATAGTTTTCTTTTTGCATACAAATGGGCTAATAATATTATCGTTTTGCTAAAAACGATAATATTACTAGTCTGTACATTTTGTACATTTGTTGCTTTAAAAACAATCTAAAATGTCAATATTCCATGGATATATTGATAAATGAGGTCTAAATTATAAGAAAATGCATTTTCTACGAAAACTTGAAGGGATAGGTAAAAAATGGTATAATACAATTTGATAGACAATTTAATTGTGCATCTGATTCTCCTAAAATATACAGGGCATTCCATTTAAATTAAAGAAGTTATTGCCGTTTGAAGCTAATAATTATTTAAAATAAATTTTAGACACTCTGTATAAGGTAGTATTATTTTTATTATTGCAACACAATAACTGATCAATAAATAAACTTCATTAAATATTTAGTATTAAAAACATTGATACCCTACTTGGAGAAATGAAGCTTTTAAAATTTTTACTGCAATTTCACAAAATTGAAAATATTTCAAAAACGGTAAGTTTTAAGTATAATAAACCTTAATCAAATTTACCTTTATTTTAATCGTAGAAACTAAAAATGTAAATAATATACAGGGTGTTCCATTTAAAAAAAAATACAACTTTGATATTTTTTATTTATTTGGGACACTCTGTATCTTGTAAAAATATTTTTAAATTGTAGCTCTAATAGTCCTTCAACGAACCCCAAACTTACAATTTGTAAAAATATCATCGTTTAGCCACAATACTCCGTGTCGTATGTGGTGAACAACCCTGTATATTTTTAATAAATGCGTATTCTATGGTTTTAAGTTTTAATCTTATAATCTGTCGCCCAACTCAGGTTTTCACTAAATTTAATCTTGAATTAAGTAAGTTATATTTAAGTTTATTTGTTATGGTGAACAACCCTGTATAGGGTGATTCACGTTTTATAAAATGTTCTACATTCAGTAGGGTTTCAAATTTTTATTAATTCTACTTGCAATATTTTATATGTTTAAATATTTCATACCTGAATGTATTCCTATGCGCAGCATCAACTTCTGGCCTGGTCTATGCTTTATCGTAAAATTCTGGACTTCGGAAAGCAAATGCAATGACATTGAGGCAATTTCTGCTGCATGCTGATAATCATTTTTGATAGGCAGACCACTTACCTTAAATAATAATAATATTTCTGAATTATTAAAAGTTTATATTATTTTCTTATAAGATAGTTCTTACCACCATGTAGGCGTCTCCAATTGTCTCAACTTTGTATACGTCATAATGTTCTATGATCGAATCAAAACATGTGTAGAGATCGTTCAAAAAATTCACCACCTAAAATTATGCAATCTTAGACATGGTTTATACTGCAAATATCAAAATTTATACATCATAATGATTAATATGATTACTTAAAAATAAATAAAATTAGAAATATCACACAGGAAATCTACTAAAGTAGTCAAAAATGAGGTTATCTACTTTGAAGACACCAGATATCTGTAGTATAACCCGCCGAAGTTACACTATGTTTTACACCCTGTATATACAGGGTGTCCCAGAAATAAGTGCAAATATTTTAACTGGTAGTATAGTTCAACCCCAGAAACACGCCTATGAGGTTTTTTTGCGAAAAAAAATGTTGAAAATTTAAAATTTTTCTTGACTTTTTCTGGAAATTTGAAAAAACTTTTTAGTGCCACTTGTTTATTCACCTACGGTGTATCTAAACCTTGCAGTGTTGCAACCTCATATGTTATCCACATTCTACATAGTTCGGCGGAACATCTACATTTATAAATTCATAGACAAATTTCTACTCAAAAAATTAGGAATGTTAAATTTAATCTTTTATCAGTGCTCATTATTAGTAATTATAGAAAAAAAAACACATTAATTATTTTTAGTACTTACCCTTTCAATGAAAACTTAACAAAATCCACCGAAAATTAACTAAAACATTACGTTTATGACGTTTACGAAAATCTTTGTTATGCTGCAAAATAACTTTATTTTGGAATAAATTTTATAAAATGATTCATATTATTCACAATCAGGTCACAAAAAGAAATTCAAAAAATGTTTATCGTAATTTAGAATTCAATTCAAGAAATTTAGAAAACAGCCCAACGAATAATCGGTTCATTTTTGTTTTGTTTGTTTTCTTTCATGTTTCTCTATTTTATTTGAACCACTGTTTTACAAAACACCTTGAAAAGCACATATTACTTTGAATACCTTTCTGAATGAATAAATGTTGAGAATTATTGTCTCTTATCGCCACTTTACGAACTACTTTCAATCTAAGAAAATACATGTTTCGCTCAACAATTATTGACAACGTATTTTGTTTTTTCCCTATTTTTTCGATGTATTTCGACAATTCCATCGACAGCCTAACCGTCAATCAAGAACTGCCGCGTGTGAACTGGTCCTTCGAATCGCCGGTCGCCGCGCCGTCGTGGCGGGCTTGCGTCAGACGACGATGTTAAGCAACGTTGCCGTAGTTACAACAATTTAAATTCAAGACATTCGAAGCAATCAAATTCGTATTAAATTTTAAAAATAAAACAGAGAAACATGAAAGGAAATAAACAAAACAAAAATGAATTGATTATTCGTCGGGCTGTTTTCGATGTATTGAATTCTGAATTACGATAAACATTTTAGAAATTTCTTTTTTGTGACCTTATCAATAACCAATTCATTTGTGTTTTGTTTGTTTTCTTTCATGTTTTTATGTTTTATTTTTAAAATTTAATAAGAATTTGATTGCTTCGAGTGTCTTGAATTTGAAATTGTTGAAACTACGGCAACCTCGCATGACGCAAGCTCGACACGGCGACGCGACAAAGGAGCAGTTACCAGTGATGCGCCGCTCTCTTGCCGACGGCCGACGCGACGGTTGCGCTGTCGATGGAATTGTTGAAATACATAGAAAAAATAGCGAAAAAACAAAATACGTATTTAAAATTGTTGAGTGAAACATGTATTTTCTTAGATTGAAAGTAGTTCGGAAAGTGGCGGTAAGAGACAATAATTCTCAACATTTATTCATTCTGAAAGGTATTCAAAGTAGTGTGTGCTTTTCAAGGTGTTTTGTAAATCAGTGGTTCAAATTGTGATGAGGCCTATATGAAAATAATGTGTTAAAAATGGGGACTGTTATTTTAGTAGTTATTATAATAGCATGTACAAGTAAAGCAGCACAGTGAAGTGTATTTTAGTTAAGTGTATATCGAAAAAGAGAACTGTCACAGTTACATCGATCTGTCATAAGTATCTTTTTTAATGTTGGGTAAGTTTTTTAATTTAACTTTTTTAACACATTTTTTTAACGCATTATTAAACATTTAACTTTTAATTTATTTTATGTAATAATATCACAATCTTAAAAATGTAATTCATCTCTGCAAACTCCTCAGGTGTGTTGTGATTTTACGACTTACTTTTAACATATACTTTCTTGTCCCTATGGCAACACAGTGCGTCGAATTAACTGAAATCCGGACTTGATCCGGGTAATTGGATGTAGTTGGCGATATCTGCCGGCGGTTCTCAAAATGTTGCGATTATTTTTTTAAGTTAAATAACTCGGTTATTTTCAATTTAATTTAAAAATGGTAAAGAGAAAATATGTTTATTTTGACCAGATCTACCACCCCTTAAAATATCTGCACTCATTTCTGGGACACCCTGTATAGACTTTTGACAAACCCTGTAGATTTTACAGTACCTGAAGGGGTGTACTTTCAGCTGACATAGCCGTGAAGCCAACGATATCGCTGAAATAGATGGTGACACTATCAAAACCCTCTGCTTTGACTTTATTTCCTTTTTTCAGTTGATCAGCCACTGGTTTCGGCAACATCTCGTATAAAAGTGCATCTGAAAATGTACGAGTATAAAAAAATAATAATTCACAACTAAATTATATATGGTTTTGTAAAAATTTTTTTATGCACCCTATATACTAGTAATATATACTGACCTGTTTTCTTTTTTTCTTCCTGTAATTGGTCGGTTCTTTCGTCGACTAATACCTCTAAATTGTTGGCGTACTTCTCCATCATCGCCATCATGTTGTCAAAAATATTCGGTTTCCTAAATCAAAAAAAAATATTAAAACACCAGGAGGTGTAAAAAAATCATTCATATCTTTAGAAATGGCTGAAACATGACTTCTGGGGTACTATTGTAGTGAGAAACTTTTCTGTCTAACTTGTTAACAAATTATTCGACAAAATAATTGGGGAAAAATTAATAGAGTAATGGCAAAAAGTGTTAAAATACCAGGGGATCTAAAATAAGCCATCCCTGTCTTAAGATTTGGATGGAACATGTTATTAGGAGTACCATTGTAACGAGAAACCTTCCTGTCTAAGTTGTTAATGACTTCTTTAACAAAAATAGGGACAAACAGTATAATACTGAAGATAAAAAGAAATACCCAGATACGGAAGAAATAATAACTACTGAATAGCTAATTTTCCAGCGTTTTTTCCATAAAAATAATAGTTAAAGGTATACAAGTTCTAAGTTTGAATTAAGTATACAAGTAAAGTCTGTGGAACTACTCACATGCCTTTCCTGAGAGGTCTAAGCTTGGTACGAATATTTTTGAAATCAGGTCTATCTTCAGGACATTCTGCCCAACATTCTTTCAAGCAGTCTTTCACAAAATCAAAACTATTTTCCAAGGTATCTATTGGAGGTCTAAAAAAAATAATAAAAAAGATTTGCATAATTTTTTCAAGGCATTGTTATCTTTATAATTTTTAAATTAAAACGTATGGGCAGAAAATTTACGTTTAATATACTTTTGAAATATATTTTTACATAACATAAACATTTACAAAAAGTATAACAATAATTATAATTGGTTTTTATCAACATTTTCGGCTTATTCAACCATTTCCAATTATGGTTAGGTTCGGTTACATATTTAGATACTCTAGTCCCAAAAGGCTTCGTAGTTCATGTTTATCTTTGGGTATCGGCCACTCTTCCATGGCCCAAGTAGTGTACCTTTGCTTGACACAGATGACATTTCTTGGGGCTAAGTTTCAAACCAGAGCTCCCTAGTCGCTTGAAAACTTCTTCCAAATTCTTCAGATGATCGTCAAAGGATTTCCCAACCACTATGATGTCATCCAGGTACACTAAACAGGTAGTCCAGGATAGTCCCTTTAACACAGACTCCATTAGTCTCTCAAAGGTAGCTTGAATAACATTGCTAGCGTCGGTATCCAATATAAAGTTTCCGTTGCCAAGAGGGTAGGTCTTGGTCTTCTGTGGATCTACCGCAACTCCCTGGGACGAGACTACATGGCCCAAGTAGTGTACCTTTGCTTGACACAGATGACATTTCTTGGGGCTAATTTTCAAACCAGAGCTCCCTAGTCGCTTGAAAACTTCTTCCAAATTCTTCAGATGATCGTCAAAGGATTTCCCAACCACTATAATATCATCCAGGTAAACTAAACAGGTAGTCCAGGATAGTCCCTTTAACACAGACTCTATTAGTCTTTCAAAGGTAGCTGGCGCGTTGCACAATCCAAAATGCATGACGGTAAATTGCTACAGTCCTACAGTGTGGCAATTTACGTTATCAATTAATAACGGACCGGATAACCTTGAATAAAGGACCAGATAACATTGAAACAAAAGGAAGCTAAATTAAGAAAGTTTTATTGACTCTAAAGTTTCACCGCTCACCTAAAAGGAATGGCGGGGTTGCTGCAGTGGATAATTTTATTCAGTATCTCAGCGGAAGTGTAAGGGCTGTTGCCAAAGGGTCCCTTTCTGCCGTGCAACTCAAAGAGAATTATTCCGAAGGAGTAAACGTCACCCTTTTGGGTCCCAGTGGGCTGGTCCTTGGTCAGGAAGGATTCTTGTTGACGTAGTAGTTCTGGAGCTCTGTAAAGTAAATCTGAAACAAAGTTGGAGATAATTTGAATTACTGTTTGTGTCTATATACAGGGTATAAAGGAATATTGTTATATACATGGTATCAGGAAAGATTATAAAGATCGGTTCATTATTGACGTATCTGCTAAAAGTTAAAGTTGTCTTGAATACTTAGTTGTATTTAGATATTTTAAATGTTTTTTGTGTTCTTTGTATTTTTCTTTAGCTTGACGGGAGGAGATATACAGGGTCCGGCAATAGTGCGTCGGGCATATGTAGCTCCTAGAATAAAAAAACTTGAGAATTTTGTTTCGAAAGTGCGAACCTAAAGTATGTGCCAGGATGTATTTCAAGAAAATATTTTAACTTCTATAGGGTGGCTCAAAAAGGTGTGAGTGGACCTTGATGATTTTTTTTGAACGGAATACCCTGTATATTATTGCATTTTTGGCTTCCTTTCAGATCACTTTACATAACCCTAAGATATGAATAAATATATTTTGATAGTTTCAGAGATATTAAAAAATAAATAAAAAATATGTATTTTTCAGCCCTTCTTAAAAAAATTATTAAAAATACAAGAACTGTCCTGAGAAATAAAAACTATATTAGGTATTTACTTTAGATGGTCTGTACTTACTTTGCTATAAATATATGAAAATCGTAAATTATACAGAATGTTCAAAATTCTGCGCCAAACTTTTTAAAATATAAAATAATTTTTCCTCGTTTTTTTAAATGGAACACCCTGTATATTATTTTTTCAGTAGACGGAGAATCAAAAAATGAACATTTTTTGTATTTAGAGTATTTCAAAATTTTTAACGGTTTCGCAGATATTTGCGGTTTTATATTTCATATGGCATTTTCCACAGTAAATTTTTATCAAAGCCACCCAATGATTTTTCTCTCGTATTTTACCATTGAAAGCGCCATATGAAATAATACTGCGCGTATCTGCGAAACCGTTCAAATTTTTGAAATACTCTAAATACAAAAAATGTTCATTTTTTAACTCTCCATCTAATAGAAAAATAATATAGAGGTGTTCCATTTAAAATAACAAAAAGAAAAATTATTTTATATTTTAGAAAGTTTTGTAGAATATTGAACATCCTGTATGATATACGATTATATATTTATAACAAAGTAAGAACAGACTATCTATAGTAAATACCTAATATAGTTTTGATTTCAGAACAGTTCTTGTATTTTTAATAATTTTTTTAAGAAGGGCTGAAAAATACATATTTTTTATTTATTTTTTAATATCTCTGAAACTATCGAAATATATTTATTCATATCTTAGGGTCTTGTAAAGTGATCTGAAAGGAAGCCAAAAATGCAATTATATACAGGGTGTTCCATTTAAAAAAAAATCATCCAGGTCCACTCACACTTTTTTGAGCCACCCTATAGAAGTAAAAATATTTTCCTGACATACATTCTGGTACATACTAGGTTTGAACTTAAACAAAATTCTCAAGTTTTTTATTCTAAGAGCTATAGATGCCTGACGCACTATTGCCGGACCCTGTTGCCACTGAAAAAAGCCACTGAAAATCTGATTTAGACTAAAAAAATAAGGTTTGAAACATAATATTGTAGAATTATAATTTTTGTATCTCTTCTACTGTTTTTGTATGCGACACCCTGTATAATATACTACAAAGCCTACGCTTACTCCAACATTTTTCTCGTATTTTCGTCGCATCTTTCATCATGCATTCTTCTGCACCCTTTTTGAACTCCCTCAAGCCAAAGTCACTGAGCTTGACCACCCATCTGGAGTCTACCAAACAATTCGAACTGTGTAGAGCACCATGAAATCTTATTGGAGAGTCATGCAGATATATCATGCCCTAAAATATTCGATTTATAGAAGAAACAATATTTTTTATTGTTATTTTGAGAAAGAAATTAAATATATACATATACATACCCTTAAAATATCTCCTACCAATGAAGCTATAAACATATTGTCTAATTTGACATCATCATTTTCTAAGATATCCTACAAAATAAAAAATAAATTTTCTTTTTATTCAATGATTGTTCTACTTACTTTTAGACTACCCCTCGTACAATATTCTGTTATAATACAAATATTCGGCGGATCAGTACAAGCACCAATAAATGCGTTCAAATTGTCATGTCTTATATCCCTCATCTACAAAAAAAAGAAAAATCAGAATTCATAGTAGTATCTAGTGATACGGCAACGGAACTTTAACTAAAATCGGTATAATTCCGTCTGACGTAAACCTAGACACACCCAAATAAAAAAAATCTATAAAACCTACGATTTTCAGTTCTTTTTTCATTTCCCTCGTGATGTCTATGGATTTTTTATGGACTTTTTTGATGGCAAACACTCTACCCTTGTAAATGCCGATCGGGGAATATATTGTTGAATATCTGAAGTCAGCGTCAGGGTTGGAACTTAGAGATACCTGGCTTGTTCTGATGAAGGGATGATTGTTCTAAAAAATAATCTGTTATAAATAAGAACAAAATAATATTAAAATATACAAAAAAATATATTTTTTCGGACAAAAATAAAAAAAGGCTTCCTACTTTTGGTAGTTTATTTCCAACAAGACTTGTATTCGGTTCATCATTAATTTCTAAATCTTTAAAATCGATTTTCCATAAAAGACTGTCCAGTTCTTGTTCGTACCTCCAGTTACGGTATAGTACCAACAAAATTATCAGTACTATCACTATTATACCCCCAGCTACGCCCCCTGTTATCTCTACAGTGTGAGCTAAAAAATTATTAAATCAAAAATTTTTTAAAATAAATCTAAAAATACTTACTGATGCATTTTTCTCCAGTAAATCCACAAAATGGCTCCGCTATTGGTGGATATCCATTTAACCAGTCGATTGTAGCTGTCAAATGTAGTACCTGTAAATTGAAACACCTACAGTATGTCCCCGGATTATCATTACAAGAGGAAAAAAACTTTTTTATTATTGACATTTTGAGAAAAATGCATTCTCCATAAAATTTTTGCTGGTTCTAAAATGGTTAATCCCCTTTATACTTTTCCAAATTTCCATACCGTTTTAGAGATAATTTAAAAAAAATGATTGAATTTTTCCTAAAAGACAGAACGGTAGTAAAATTGTTTAAAAGAAAATTAGAATCAAAGAAAGAAATAATATAAAAAAAGGATAAGAAATGTAAAAGAAACAAATAATTTATTTAAATAATAAGTTGGTTATTTACTTCATCACACTGTATAAATTAAGGTTTTAGTAAACAAAAACATTTAAAAGTAATTAGCAATGTTTGCAATTTTATTTAAAACAAACACCAAACGTGTTTGTTGTTAATCGCTCATTAAAAATGGTATTAGTTATTTCAAATAATGGTAAGCTGAATATATTTTATTTTTCTGATCAAAATGAATATCAATGTGATAGGATTAATGATTTTAGTGTTTAATCAGGTAGGGCAAAGTGTACTGTATTTAAAATGTACAAAAATACCTATACACTATTTTTTTTAGAACTGTGAATTGGTATATACTGACTCAGTGTTACCCACTCACGCTCAGCAAGTGAATTTACTCACAAGCGTAGAAGAACTGTTTGAACAAGTCAAGTATGCCTCAAAAACTGAACAAGAAACAATGAATGATTCGATCAAATCAGACATTCAAATGACATTAAAATGGAGTCAGTTCCTCATTGGTAGTCTTAGAGATCTCTATCTGTTAAGTAAGCTACCAAACGATCGAAAAAAAAACGGCGTCAGGGACAGCTGGGGCATGAAAATCGATGATAATTTTGACGAGGTCAAACCCTAGACGTACTGTTTTTAATTTTTCTATAATTAGTGTTTATTTTTTGAAATCTTATGTTAATTTTTAGTAAATGTCGTCTAGAGTACTTTGACGCCGTTTTTATTCGATCACACTGTATATTTTGATTAGCTTTTTAATTTTTTACGGATAAATTCGTTGTAGAATTGACATCGAACAGTAATTCAGTATGTTCAATAGACGAAAAAGAATCTATGGTGCAGATTTCCCAAAATGCAGCAAAAAACCTAGATAATTGCACCAATCAAGGTAGATTTTTTTGTTATACAGGGTGATGTAATTTTATTTAAACAAATTTTGATATTATATTATTTTTTTTAAGAACTGGGAACGATAAATTCGAATTCGGATCTTTTATCGAACATTACTGATTCAGCTGTAGAAAATGCTGAAGGATTTTTGGACAAACTGAAAAGCTGCAGCAGTAAAAAAGGATTTACCGTTATAGCTTGTTACAAGAAGATAATAGACAACGATGTGACACCTGTCAAATTGATTCTGTCTCAATCGATAGAGGATCATAAAGAAAGCTATATCAGAGCATTCCAGATTAAATCTTTGGTAAATAATTGTGTGGATTTTGTGTTGGATGATGCTAGGAGGAACTTAGAGGTTGCTTATGACAGAGGAATGTATTGCAACTGAAATAAGTTATTTTGGAGATTTTTAAGATATTAAATTACAGCAGATGCCAAAGCGAATGGCGACATGTTACATAAGGATAGAGATTATTTTTTAATGTCTTATTTAGCTGTCACCTTTTTATTTTTTGTACCCTTATCTTATTTACACCCTGTATAATTTTATTTTCCGAAAAAAGGATTCAAATTACTTTTTTGCACAATAAAAAAAGAGTCAATATGGTTTTTTGTCGTATTTTTTTCTCAACCCATCCAGTTTTTCCGAACAACGAGAGTTTCCCTCATATACGCAATCTTTTGCGACTGAAAAGGGTTTTCCCTCTTACAGGGGAGTTTTCCATTCTGTTTAGGGCAGAAGTATGTAACTAATACTCTTGGAAAATTAATTGCGATGGAAGAATTCCCGGAATTCCTTTAAATAGGAATACTTCGTGATATAATTCACAATCGACGCTTGTTTTAATTATAGAAGTCTTGTTTAATTATTCACTTTCAGTGCTAATTTTGCAAACCTTCAATCCAATGTTATATACAGTATGTCCTTAGGTCATCTTCACAAGGGAAAAAGCGTTTTAATTAACATTTATTCTAGCTCAATTTTATTTTTTGAGAAAAGTTTTGGGGTAGTTCTCATTTATTTTGTTCTTTATCCTTTTTGGGGGGCACTGAATCGGAATCTGATGTTTGCTAACAGAATTTCGTGACGGAACATTAGAAAAAACTCAAGAAAACGTCAAAAATTGCATTTTTTGTGGTTTTTGCTTATAGGCTTGCTGCATTTCAGCTGATTTCAACAAATTTCGCCCGCAGCGCTTCAACGGCAGTAATCAGAAATTATCAGTACTTAGAGTAGTAAAAAATAAATGAAAAAGAATTCAAACTAGGAGTCGTGTTGTATTGTGACAATTTCAAATGTTAATACACTGGGCTCTTTCACAAAAAATTAAATACCCAATTCAAGGATAAAATTTGAAATAGAAGACTATTTTCAGTATATTTATCAAAAAAAAATAGTTCCATGACATTGAATAATTTTTTTATGGGCCCTCAAAATTGCTTTAATTTGAAATAAGTTTAAAGCGCCAATTGATGACGTATGAAAAATACGTCAAATCACATTGCAGAACCGTGCTCGTGCGCCAGCCAACAACTGGCAACATTGCGATTTGATTTGACCAGCACCACCTCAACTCAAGGACAATCAACATGATATGGGCAAGACAAATATGGCGACGAAGGCAGCGCATTATTAAATTGTTTACCTTTAACCTGAAAAGCCGGTAGTGGTTTCTCGTTCCGATTGCATACCAGAAATAATTAATTATCTCTAGTTCGTTGTGCTTCTGCAACACGTTTCTTCAGTTCTTAGTGTTCAGTGCATGGTGTGATCAGAAAATTGTGATAAAATACAGTGTAATAAAAATCCAAACCAGACATTCCACATAGGGAACTTCAAACTTTTGTGCTTGTCGTACTCCTCTATTATTAATTATTTTAAGGTAAGAACTAGAAGTATTTATCAAGACAAACCACAAAAATTTATCAACACCTAAATGAGTAAAAAGCCTTCACCGCCAGTCTGCATAGTACTTTATATTGGTTACTTACAATAATCAAAAGATAGGTATTAAAGGGTAGGTATAGTCTGTGAAACGAATAACTTTGAATTTGACAGTTCCCGCGGGCTTTTCTAGTGTTAATTTTATTAGGTTAGCAACTTGCGGCCATGCTGATGCAATGCCGTCTCTAATAGAACAGCCTCGGAGCGAAATTTATGACGTCCAGGGTTCGAAAGTAGTTAATTAAGACGTAATTTACCTGATTAACTACGTGTAGTTTTTCTTCAAAAACTACGTCTTTTTTCGTTAATTAACTACATGAAAACTACGTTAATAAAATATGTATTGGTATTATGAATAATTTTTCTTTGTATGAGGGATCTAAATAATATGATGTGAATGATTATATTTAAAGCCGTTTTCTTAAATACGTTATGTGTTTTTTAAAGCTTCAACTTATTATATTTGATATTTGAAAGTTACATACATAGGTTACATAAACTACATTAACGACATGTAATGTAGTTTATGTAGTTTTTAAAAGTGACATGTAGTTTTCCGAACCCTGATGACGTCACGCTAGTTAGATACTGCGGATTAATTATGTTGTAGAATACATGGAAAACATAATTATTCCTCGTATGTGTAATTTTTTGGATTCTATTCGACACTATTTTTTTCATATGACACAACACTGATGAAGGCTATAAACGTTAGCTATAACGTTTCTTTTTAAACCAAAAAAAAATAATGAAAAACCAAATGAAAACTTATTCAGCGTTTTTCCCGAACCTAAATCCCAAGAAAATCAAACATTTTAGAATAATTTTACATATAAAATGAGAGCGATCTTTATTTCTTAGCCATCGCTGACGCCTTTTTTTCTATGATATTGTATTATTTGCAAATATAATTTTTCGAACATTCATGCTTGTAAAATATACATATAAATTTTGTGAATGCAAATAATAATATATCACTATTAGTAGATATTAATGTTTTTTTGTTAAATTAGATCGACTTCAAACCCCAAAATTTAAAATATATTTTACATTTTACCCATTATCTTATGTACCTATTCATTATTTGTATATTGTAAAACATTTGCTGCATTTGTATGGTTCATAGTTTATTTGCTAAAGTATTTATTACTATAAATAGGTATATGTATATATATATATATATATATATATATTATATATATATATATATATATATATATATATATATATATATATATTGTATTTCGTCCCACTGCTGCCAAAAGTCACTAACTTTACTTTTTATCACTTCCGAGAAAAAATGCGTCTAAAGATGAATTGCATTGCATAAAGATGTTATAGTTAGTAACTATTCGGTATTAAAATAAAACATAAATAGCCAGAAATCGTAGTTAATGACTTTTGCAATCGATTCTCCACTTCAAAACATAGTTAGTGATTGAATTTGGTTGTTCGGAAAAATGTTAGTTAGTGACTTTTGGCAGCAATAGAACGATTTATTAACTGTATATTATGTATATTTCATGTAAACTATATCAGTTTTAAAATACAAACCAAAAATATGAGGAATAATTATGTTTTCCATGTATTCTACAACATATTTATTAATCCGTGGTATCTAACTAGCGTGACGTCATTAATCTCTCCCCGTGGCTGTTCTATTAGAGACCGCATTGGTCTGATATTTAGAAATGTCAAAGGCTGATGACATTTTACTTTTGTCAATTATGACATTTCGCGTTGATTTTTGCAAGAAGAGGATGAACTGTCACTTGTTTTATTATTTTCCTTTTCTATTTCACAAAAGTAAAAAGAGTTACCTATCTGATTCGTTCAGGCACACATTTTAAAGAATATCAGTAACTTTTTGGATAGAGGGATTTTATATTTGCCATGTTAGTAAAAAATAACGGTCAAAATTCAAAGTTATTCATTTTATAGACTATATTAACATTTTATTGTAGCATACCTTTTACATGCTCTGTTATAAATTGTCACGAGAATTATAGAGGGGGTTCCCAAGGTTTCTGCTTTTATATTCCCCAAAAATGACGAGCTTCGTAAAAAAATGGTTGACAGCTATTAAAAGATATAATTTCACTCCTACTAGTAATTCTCGGGTAAGAAGTGCGTTAAATATGCCTCAAAAAGGCCAAATATTTTTATAAAAAGTAACTAACTGATGTTTTCATAAAAATAATAATACAAAAAATTCCATACTTATGTGGAGAGCTTTAGACTAGAATTAGCTTAGAATATTAAAAAATTAGTGAAATATTACGTAATCTAACCCGACATTTGCGTGAAAAATGTCTATTTGGCAATAAAACAGGTTTTAAAATACGCGCCAAATAAAGCACTTCTAACTCCGCCATATTGGAAAAGGTTGAATGGCCTTGTGTGGAGGTGGTGGTGGGTCAGCATGGTGGCCCGGTCGTGTTGCCGCTTTTCAACATGCCAGGTGTGACGTATTAAAAATAAAGTGCGGATTTTTATTCTGGGCTTTTTTGTTTTTTTTTATTTTCTTAAGAACGACTTCAAATTTTTCGAAAGTGAGATAGCAGAAAATTCTAGAATTAATTGCTTTATTCAATTATGCTAATTCCAAAATATAGTGAAAGAGCCCATTGCCGAAAAAATGTTAACGCGTAAAGGAGGAAATTAAGGCGTTGTTGGGTCCAATACCATTCAATATCTCAACTTTCCCGGATATTCAACTCTCCCGAAACAACATTTTATAGCTTCAGAGTTTCTCACACCGATTTGATCAAAAGCAAACATGGATTCAAGCAGTTCGACGAAACAACATAACCAAAAATTTAATAGACATAAATACACTTTGAGAGGATAAAATATAATTTGCAATATTAATAGTATACATTTTTTAACCAAATAGTGATTAAATGTTTTATAAACATTTTCTAAAATTATCATTATGTACCTTTAGAAAATTTCGTCGTAGCCTCCAAAACTTATCTATTATGTTTCCTATTGTTCCTGTAAAGAAAAATCGGGAAAACACTTACCGGCAATCTGGAGTGCGTACGCGGCAGGGCGAATATTCCCACGGGAAACAATCCGTACTGATCCCGTTTTCCTGGAAGGGGTTTTCTGGAGATCAGCGTGTAATTTCCTTCGGCGTCTCCGTTTTCGTCCATGTACACGATGTAGCTGTATAGGGATAAAATGGATGTATTTATCGGTTGCTTGTCAGTGAAAATTTTCTAAAGTTTTTCTACAAATTCTACAAAAAAAGTAGCGATATACAGGGTGGTCCGAACCGTATTCCGCAACTTCGGCAGCATATTCCGCAGATAAAAATAATTAAAAAAGTTCGTATAAATGTATGTCCTAAAATGCTTAGTTTCGGATATACAGGGTGTAGATGTTAGTAAGTAGGAGTCATATTGACTTAAAAATCAAATTTTTCATGTCGAAAAACAACCAGATATCAAGTTTCATCGAAATATTGACGTTACTTCAGAAATTATTTGGAAGAAATCGAAATAAAATTAAACCTCTACACCCTGTATCTCCGAAACTAAGCATTTTAGGACATACATTTGTACGAACTCTTTTATTTATTTTTCTCTCCAGAATATGCTGCCAAAGTTTCCGGAAAACAGTTTGGACTTTGGACCACCCTGTATAACGAGAAACTATGGTTACGTTCGTTGAATTTGGCACTTTATATCAGTTTAATAATATATTTTCCTAGTTTTATGCTTAGGCGAAAAAGTATTTTACTTTTATGCCTAGGCGTTAAAATGACTTTTTATATTGTCAATCACGTCGCAAAAATTAATACTTTTATGACGTTTAAAAAAATATATATACAGGGTTGTTCACCACATACGACACGGAGTATTGTAGCTAAACGATGAGATTTTTACAAATTGTAAGTTTTGGGTTCGATGAAGGACTATTAGAGGTACAATTTAAAAATAATTTGACAAGATACAGAGTGTCCCAAATAAGTAAAAAATATCAAAGTTGTATTTTTTTAAATGGAACACCCTGTATATTATTACATTTTTAGTGTCTACGATTAAAATAAAGGTAAATTTGATTATGGTCTATTATACTTAAACCTTACCGTTTTTGAAATATTTTCAATTTTGTGAAATTGGAGTAAAAATTTTAAAGCTTCATTTCTCCAAGGGTATCAAAGTTTTTAATACTAAATATTTACTGAAGTTTATTTATTGATCAGTTATTGTGTTGCAATAATAAAAATAATACTACCTTATACAGAGTGTCTAAAAATTTATTTTAAATAATTATTAGCTTCAAACGGCAATAACTTGTTTAATTTAAATGGAACACCCTGTATATTTTACGAAAATCAGATGCACAATTTAATTATCTATCAAATTATATTATACCATTTTTTACCTATCTCTTTAAGTTTCCGTAGAAAATGCATTTTCTTGTAATTTAGAACTTATTTATCAATATACCCATGGACTATTGACATTTTAGATTATTTTTAAAGATGTACCAAATTTTTAAAGAGTACAGATACTAATATTGTCGATATAATTCGTTTATTTCATTAAAAATAAAAAAAACTGTTTAAATATTTGTTAAAGAGGATCAATTAATATGATTCCAGTATTCAAACTACATTAACTGACTGTTTGCGTTGATTAATAATAATTGCTCCAAATACTAAAAAACTGAATTTTGTATGGGCATTAGACAGCGTGATAAAAAGTAACACTTTAAAAATGATATTTCATTTTTTAATAAATGCTTATTTATAATAACAGAGACTTTAATTTGATAACTTATTATTGTATTGATTTCTGGCTCAAATCCACATTTATTTATAATAATTTATTAACGAACACAATTAAGTATGTAATTAATTAGTATATGGGCGGAAATAATGGTGTTATATTTAATTAATGGTATACTCTTTTATAAAGATTTAAATAGTTTTCTTTTTGCATACAAATGGGCTAGTAATATTATCGTTTTGCTAAAAAGTCTGTACATTCTGTACATTTGTTGCTTAAAAACAATCTAAAATGTCAATATTCCATGGATAGGGAGATAAATGAGGTCTAAATTATAAGAAAATGCATTTTCTACGAAAACTTGAAGGGATAGGTAAAAAATGGTATAATACAATTTGATAGACAATTTAATTGTGCATCTGATTCTCCTAAAATATACAGGGCATTCCATTTAAATTAAAGAAGTTATTGCCGTTTGAAGCTAATAATTATTTAAAATAAATTTTTAAACACTCTGTATAAGGTAATATTATTTTTATTATTGCAACACAATAACTGATCAATAAATAAACTTCATTAAATATTTAGTATTAAAAATATTGATACCTCTTTGGAGAAATGAAGCTTTAAAATTTTTACTGCAATTTCACAAAATTCAAAAATATTTCAAAAAACGGTAAGGTTTAAGTATAATAAACCTTAATCAAATTTACCTTTATTTTAATCGTAGAAACTAAAAATGTAATAATATACAGGGTGTTCCATTTAAAAAAATACAACTTTGATATTTTTTATTTATTTGGGACACTCTGTATCTTGTAAAAATATTTTTAAATTGTAGCTCTAATAGTCCTTCAACGAACCCCAAACTTACAATTTGTAAAAATCTCATCGTTTAGCTACAATACTCCGTGTCGTATGTGGTGAACAACCCTATATTATATTTGTGATTTTGTAACCTAGATAATGGTCTTGAAAAACAGACATAAAAAATATTAATATTCTTCATACATTTATTTTTTAATTTTTTTTTATCAATACCATTTGGTAAAAATATTTGTTTTTATTGCTGGTATTTTTTTTGTTACTCCTATTTAATATAAAAAAAAACAATGGAAATCCTTTTAGGAAAAGTCTTTCACACTATCAAGGAAAACCAATCAGATTCTTTCCTTTGTATTTTCCCCCTTTTTCGACAAAAATCAAAATATATTTCTCAATAAAGAGAACCACGAATTCCTGTATGATTCGTCTGGATGGATAATATGTTTATATGGATTTTATTTCTTTTTTTTAATAAAAAATATAATACTTTTGGGATGCTGCTGTACAGGGTGGGTCAAATTCGACGCTTTTAAATGGAAACACCCTTTTTTATAGGAGATAGACGAAAACTAATATCGGCGTCTGGAGCTCAATTTTCATCAAAAACATGATGGTGAAAACCGCACATCAATATCTGTTACCGTTTCGGTGTTACGGGGTGTTTTTCAAAAATGTGCATTTTTTAACAAATCGCTGTAACTTTTTTGCTATGGAAAATTTTGTATTTCTATAAAACATTTCCAAAGCACCTTTTACGTAGAATTTAATGGTTTAAGTATAATTTTTTTAAAATTATTAATTTAAGAGTTATCAACAGAAAAATTGATTTTTATTTGGGACACCCTATATTTTTAATTAACTGAAAAAGAATTTAAAATTACCTTTCCAAAAATATAGCACACTTAATATTTTGTTATAATCCCCTTCGAAATACAGAATTTTTAAAAGTTTGCCACTTTTAACTAGTAGGCTTATTTGGAGCTCTTATTGATGATATGCCCTTAATGGAGCTGGAAAACATATTTTTGCAGCAAGACGACGCACCGCCTCTGAACGCTGAAGTTATCAGCAAATTTTTGCAGCCAATTTCAACAATAATTGAATAGCTAACCAAGATTCCAGCCGTTGGCCGTCGAAGCCGCTTGACTTAGTGCTCACGGATCTAATCCTATGGATATATTTGCGGAAGAATAAATGTTTCTTATTCTTCCGTATAATCTAGACAAGAATTAGAAATACTTAGCAATTATGAGAGGGTATCTTTCACCCCCATTGAGTTAATGAATTCTGCGAGAAATGTTCAAAAACCACCCCGTCTGTCCATAACAGAAGACAGTCAATATGTCGAACGCCTGTAGCAAAATTTCATGTCTTGGTTTGCTATTTATTTTTATTGTTATTAGATATAGTTTAAATGTGTTGATGTTGGTTAAATATATTTTAAATTGTTATAAAATTCTGCATCTCTTAGCAAATATTATTTTTCGTTTTAATTGATTGCTCACAGAATAGAATTTTGCATTACAGCCGATGCCGTTCAAAGCCTACTTATTTAAAGTGGGCAAATTTTATATACTCTATATCTCGAAGAGGAATCGAACAAAATATCAAGTGTGTTATATTTTTGAAAGGTAATTTCAAATTCTTTTCAATAAATTAAAAATACAGAGGGTGTCCCATATAAAAAATCAAATTTTCTGTTGATAATTCTTAAATTATTAATTTAAAAAAAATATACTTAAACCATTAAATTTCTACGTAAAAGGTGCTTTGGAAATGTTTTCATAAAATACAAAATTTTCCATAGCAAAACAGTTACAGCGATTTGTTAAAAATACATATTTTTGAAAAACACCCTGTAACTCCGAAACGGTTACAGATATCGATATGCGGTTTTCACCATCTTGTTTTTGACAAAAATTGAGCTCCAGACACCGATATTAGTTTTTATCTATCTCCTATTGAAAAGGGTGTTTCCATTTAAAAGCGTCGAATTTGACCCACCCTGTACAAACGACTATTTGGTTTGGAAATGAACGTCAATGACATTCCCCATATAATTTTACATATAAAATGACAGCGATCTTCATTTCATAGCCATCGATGACGCCGTTTTTTTTCGATCATATTATATTTTATAATTATCATGTCATTTAACACCTTTTATCTAATTCCTAAATACTTTTGGAGCAAATAGAGATACTTGTTTGTTTAAAACTCTTTCTGTTTTTGTAATATGATCCTGCTATTAAGCCAATGGCATTGAAAACATTTTGAAAAATCTGTGGTCCCTCATTATGTAACCGAGATTTTCCCGACACTATTTCTGATTTAAGAAATATTCCTAACCGCCATACTTTAATTTTCACCCTGTATAAAAGAAAGGGAAAGCCAAATTTAATATACACAAAATTGTATTTCCTTTCTCCCCTATTAGAGGGCATTAACCACTAACTAAGTTTTTCAACCCAATGTATCGGAGTTTATATAACACTTTTCTTGTTTTTATCTTACCCCATGGCGCTTTTGTAGTGGGTATTTTTGATAGCTTCGATTATAGCACTTCCATTCCTGGGCTCTCCTCCGCTATCCATTACCTCCATTAGAGCCTTGGCATAGAGATGGACAGCGTCGTACAGATAGGCAGCTTCAGCTCGAATCTAGCAATCAAAAGAAGAATAAATAGAATTTTTACTTAATTTTTGGTTAATGATTTCTGAAAATTCGACTTTTCAAGTGGAGAAAGATACGTCTAAATATTTTTCAATACCGTTTGATAGAGAGTTATCCCGTGGTCTAAAAGGAATTTTTAAGAATGTCAATTATAAACTTGTGTATAGTGCTAATAATAAATTACAACAATTATTAGGTGATCCAAAGGATAAAACACCTCCACTGGAAAGGTCGGGTATTTATGAAATTTCTTGTAAAGATTGTAATCAGAAATACGTTGAGCAAACTAGAAAATCAATATTAACTAGATTTAAAGAACATTTAGCTCAGATAAGATGTGGTAGACCGAATAAATCTTGAGTTGCTCAACATGTTGTTGATAAAGAACATTGTATAGATCTTAATAATTTAAAATTAATTAAATAAGTCTCAAATTAGAGGCAATTAGATGCATACGAAAGCATCAGAATTAATAAATGTCAAGATAGTATGAACAGAGACAACTACTTGTTTCTACTACTCTACTAACTGTTACGCTTGGTGGGCTCTGACTCGGTTGGCTAGATCTTGCCACGCCCTCTCGGTGCCCACTGAGTGAGTATATAAACGCTCAAACTGTAGATTGTATTTTAGTTTCTTAATCATCTGCTAATGATGCTAACATGGTTAGCGAAACGCGCGTCCAGTGTAAAAGTAAAAAGTGTTTTAGTGTATTGTGGCAAATTCGTGTTTTATTTTGCTGTGTAAGATCAAAGGTTCCAATCCTCAACTGTAATCTACAAATTGCTTAAAAGATCATCAAAATTGGTCCACTAGAGAATATCACACGCAAACAATCAGTGTAAACTTTTGAAAAAGCTCTTCTTTTTGAAGCTTATAACATGACAGCATTTTCAACCAATTATTACTTTCACGTTATACAAAACTTAAGATTGTGAATAACGCCCTAAGGCTGTTTCTGTATTTTGTCCATCACTTGATAAACGACCTATAAAATTTAAATCCCTTAGAACAAAGGCAGGGCTGAAAAATTCGAGACCCACAAGCCTCATTTTTCATTCTGCTTTTTATTTTACTAAATTTCCATTCGGTTAAAGTTGTTGTTCGGCTTTCCAGAAAACTTTCAAGCTTTTTAAACAGGAAATTTGTTATTTTTTTTCACTCTCAAACGCCCTGAAGAAAAGAAATTAAAATAAAAGAAAAAAAACCGGAGAAATAACAGGACCAGAAGTTTATAAGTATGATGAAGAATACAGATATGATGTAATACAGGTACAGACGAAAATGTATTACTCTTCAAACCTTTTTTACGTGTAACAAATGTTTTCTTACGTGTAACAAATAATTTTAAACGCGTAAAAATAAAGCACTGATATTGCTGATTCAGCCTTCAAATCACTCAGTTTATAAAATACCTTTAAGTAAAATCTCTTCGGATCTGCGGTAAAATACCTTTATTTTACCAACCACCTAATAACCTAATTTTAACGTCAACTTGACAATCCTGAAAAATAGTGAAAAATGTTATTGTTAACCAAAGAGTAAATCAATTTCTGAATTCGCTAACGCCAACTTATTTTTCATTAAAAAAAATTACCAATTAAACTACGTGTGTTTTACGTGTAACAAATGTTTTCTTACGTGTAACAAATAGTTTTAAACGCGTAAAAATAAAGCACTGATATTGCTGATTCTGATTTAGCCTTCAAGTCACTCAGCTAAGTAAAATATAATTTTATTATATCTTGTGCCTGCTGAGAATGTTTATTCTACAGGGTTGTTCACCACATACGACACGGAGTATTGTAGCTAAACGATGAGATCTTTACAAATTGTAAGTTTGGGGTTCGTTGAAGGACCTTTAGAGCTACAATTTAAAAATATTTTTACAAGATACAGAGTGTCCCAAATAAATAAAAAATATCAAAGTTGTATTTTTTTAAATGGAACACCCTGTATATTATTACATTTTTAGTTTCTACGATTAAAATAAAGGTAAATTTGATTAAGGTTTATTATACTTAAACCTTACCGTTTTTGAAATATTTTCAATTTTGTGAAATAGTAAAAATTTTAAAAGCTTCATTTCTCCAAGGATGTCAATGTTTTTAATACTAAATATTTAATGAAGTTTATTTATTGATCAGTTATTGTGTTGCAATAATAAAAATAATACTACCTTATACAGAGTGTCTAAAAATTTATTTTAAATAATTATTAGCTTCAAACGGCAATAACTTCTTTAATTTAAATGGAATGCCCTGTATATTTTAGGAGAATCAGATGCACAATTAAATTGTCTATCAAATTGTGTTATACCATTTTTTACCTATCCCTTCAAGTTTTCGTAGAAAATGCATTTTCTTATAATTTAGACCTCATTTATCAATATATCCATGGAATATTGACATTTTAGATTGTTTTTAAAGCAACAAATGTACAAAATGTTTTTTTTTTGTATGCAAAAAGAAAACTATTTAAAACTTTATAAAAGAGTATACCATTAATTAAATATAACACCATTATTTCCGCCCATATACTAATTAATTACATACTTAATTGTGTTCGTTAATAAATTATTATAAATAAATGTGGATTTTTGAGTCAGAAATCAATATAATAATAAGTTATCAAATTAAAGTCTTTGTTGTTATAAATAAGCATTTATTAAAAAATGAAATATCATTTTTAAGGTGTTACTTTTTATCACACTATCTAATGCCCATACAAAATTCAGTTTTTTAGTATTTGGAGCAATTATTATTAATCAACGCAAACAGTCAGTTAATGTAGTTTGAATACGGCATCATATTAATTGGTCCTCTTTAACAAATATTTAAACAGTTTTTTTTTTATTTTTTAATGAAATAAACGAATTATATCGACAATATTAGTATCTGTACTCTTTAAAAATTTGGTACATCTTTAAAAATGACCTAAAATGTCAATAGTCCATGGGTATATTGATAAATAAGTTCTAAATTACAAGAAAATGCATTTTCTACGGAAACTTAAAGAGATAGGTAAAAAATGGTTTAATATAATTTGATAGACAATTAAATTGTGCATCTGATTCTAGTAAAATATACAGGGTGTTCCATTTAAATTAAACAAGTTATTGCCGTTTGAAGCTAATAATTATTTAAAATAAATTTTTAGACACTCTGTATAAGGTAGTATTATTTTTATTATTACTACACAATAACTGATCACTAAATAAACTTCAGTAAATATTTAGTATCAAAAATTTTGATACCCTTGGAGAAATGAAGCCTTAAAATTTTTACTGCAATTTCACAAAATTGAAAATATTTCAAAAACGGTAAGTATAATAAATCTTAATCAAATTTACCTTTATTTTAATCGTAGAAACTAAAAATGTAATAATATACAGGGTGTTCCATTTAAAAAATACAACTTTGATATTTTTTACTTATTTGGGACACTCTGTATCTTGTAAAATTATTTTTAAATTGTACCTCTAATAGTCCTTCATCGAACCCAAAACTTACAATTTGTAAAAATCTCATCGTTTAGCTACAATACTCCGTGTCGTATGTGGTGAACAACCCTGTATATTTTTAATAAATGCGTATTCTATGGTTTTAAGTTTTAATCTTATAATCTGTCGCCCAACTCAGGTTTTCACTAAATTTAATCTTGAATTAAGTAAGTTATTTTAGGCACTACTCCTTCATTAACTTGTCCAGCTAATCCTACTTTAATATTCCTAAAAATTTAATTGAATATTTCTGGAAAACTTATTAATATTAAAATCCTTGCCTTTTACTCACCAATTTACCACCCCCAAAATACGACAAAGGGTTGGGAAAATTGAAAGGTGCTTTCTCCATGTAGCTATTAACAAGGGCTGTGAAATTTTCGAAGCCTACCGGACTGGATGGTACTACTCCCAGGTAGCTTTGGTAGGCTTTCTGTGCTACTGGGTCATTGGGAAGATCGGCATCCCTTAGGAGTCCTCTTAAGTACTTCGAAGGGTTTTTGTCGTCGTACTGTTCTATGTCAACACCCACGACAAAATATTCACCTGGGATAATAAGAAAAAAACATTAGTTTTGTACCAAATTTTTTTTGACTTCAATGTTCTTTATTTAATTTTGAATTTTTGTTCATTCCTGAAAATATTTATTTTATCAAAAAACACTCTGTAATTTGCTGTCTTCTTGGTGTTTTTTTTTCTAATTCTAACATGAATTAACTTTGTCCTTCCAGGTTTGGTTTTTATCTGAAATAGTGATCTTGTGCTAAAGAAAATCGCAATAAAGAAGTTGAGTGTACACTAGTACAAACAGTTTTTTAATTAAAAGAGATCCAATATATTTTGAAATAAATGAAGGATCTGAGTTTGAGATACTTAACCTTTTTCAAACAATTTCTTCTGTTCCATGGCTACCATCAATCCAAGATGTTCATAATGATGACCCAAGATTACAAAAACTGAAAATTAAAAAAATACAAAAGTATATTGGCGACAACAGTATATGTTTAGTACTTATATACTTTTTTTCACTGATGAGAGACCTAGTCTTTATAGAAAAGATTAAATTAAATTACTTAAATTTATTTCTTCTAATGTACTCTTTTATACACTTAAAAAGTTAGAATAAAATTTAGTGAGGACTTGGAAAATGCTAAAAAGCCATTTCCAAATATATTTTACTACCCTAAAGTTCACTGTACTCTTATTTAACGATGAAAGATTTAGTTTTAAAGTAAGGAGACTTTCCTTACTTCGTGAGGCACTTTTCTTTGTTTAGAATTCTCGAGAGGTACTCTAATATATTAATTTACTGCGCTATATTTTGAAAATAAAATAAAGACACTTCGTACATAATCGATACAAATGGTCTCTGTTATAGACAATATATTGGCTAAATTTTGCATAAAAATTCTACATTTTTTTTTGGTACCAAGTCTTGATGGTGTACGTTGCTTAACCATACTATGTTGCCGTTTGCTTTGTAGCTGACATTTTGCATTATATCTGTGTCTATAAGTTCACAATAATTTTAAAGAATAATTGAAAATCTCCTCTTCAATAAATTATAAAAATCCATTTTAATTATATCAGTGTCATTGCTAATAATTCTAGACAACTATGAAACTATGAACCCTTCCTGGACACAAACGGTACATTGTAACACAGGAAATTGTAGAGAGAAACAAGCCCTATAACATAGAGTACATTTTAATGTACAGTGCTTTCCATAAAATCAATAAAATGAAAAATATACGAAATAATATACATGTAGTGATTTCCTTCGAAAATCGACAACTATGAAACTATGAACCCTTCCCGGACACAAACAGTACATTGTGAGACAGGAAATTGTAGAGAGAAACAAGCGCTATAACATAGGATACAACATTTTAACGAACAGTGCTTTCCATAAAATCAATAAAATGAACAATATACGAAATATACATGTACTGATTTCTTTCGAAAATCGACAACTATGAAACTATGAACCCTTCCCGGACACCAACGGTACATTGTAACACAGGAAATTGTAGAGAGAAACTAGCCCGATAACATAGGATACAACATTTTAATGAACAGTGCTTTTCACAAAATCAATAAAATGAAAAATATACGGAATAATATATATGTACTGATTTCCTTCGGAAATCGACAACTATGAAACTATGAACTCTTCCCGGACACAAACGGTACATTGTGAGACAGGAAATTGTAGAGAGAAACAAGCCCTATAACATAGGATACAACATTTTAATGAACAGTGCTTTCCATAAAATCAATAAAATGAACAATATACGAAATATACATGTACTGATTTCTTTCGAAAATCGACAACTATGAAACTATGAACCCTTCCCGGACACCAACGGTACATTGTCCCGATAACATAGGATACAATATTTTAATGAACAGTGCTTTCCATAAAATCAATAAAATGAAAAATATACGAAATAATATACATGTACTGATTTCTTTCGAAAATCGACAACTATGAAACTATGATCCCTTCCCGGACACAAACGGTACATTGTGAGACAGGAAATTGTAGAGAGAAACAAGCCCTATAACATAGGATACAACATTTTAACGAACAGTGCTTTCCATAAAATCAATAAAATGAAAAATATACGAAATAATATACTGATTTCTTTCGAAAATCGACAACTTTCTTCTTTATTCAGATTTAAAATACTTGCACTTATTCGGGAGACACCCTGTATTTTCAAATAAAGAAATGAGACTGATATATCAACGAGTTATGAAAAATTAAGTTCATAATAATTATTTTGTTTTACAACAACAATAGCTCGTAATAGAAAAACTATTGAAATATTCACGATGAAAGATTCATCTGTCTTGTACTAATTAAAGGTACACACTGTATAGCTTTTGAATTAAGAAAGTGAAATCATATACAAATGAGTTATGTAATTCTGTTCATATTAATTTAATTTTTTTACATAGCTAACATCAGTTTTCGGTAAAAACCATAAACCAGAGCCCCATTATTATTATAACGTCTTTCTCTGATTTGTCTCAATTAAAAACCAATTAGTCCTCTAAGAAAATCCTCGACATCTAAAAGGTCTATAAAGAAAAACACCGGAAAAAAGACCGGAAAATTGGTAAAATTGAATGGAGAATTATTGGGGCAGAAGTGAAACATAGGGGCTGGCGTTCTCGCGAGGATCCGTCACGGAAAACCGATTTTCCAGCCTTTGTTTTCCCGAAATTCCTCAATTTTTTATCTCTTTCTGTTGTGGATTTAGGCTTGTACTTGATCAGACAAGAAAAAAAGGATGAAGGAAAAAAAGGGAAGAATTTAGGGTGTAAAATTAATTTATTCGTTCCTGAATAATGGGATGGAATTTAATTTTTATATGGGAGGAAAATTCGTGAATAGATGTAAAGTTGTTTAGTATGGATATATCGAAAATGTAGTTCTCGATTCCTTATTGGTTGAAAAATTATGGCGCACAGTTTAAATTTCACCAGACGAGCTATTGAATTTTCAAAATTCAAAATTCTTTATTCATGTTAAATTACCATCAAGGTTTACAATCGTCATCAATGCTATCAAGCCTAGCAAGATACAAAGTAAAATGACATAAATATGTAATACACACACCGGAAAAATCTAGGGATATCATTTCATTAAAGTTAAAAATAAATGTTTTGAATAAACAACCACATATTTGTAGGCCGATTCTTTCTACTTCGATTGAAACGAAGTAGTCACACTAGTTATTTCTAAATTTGGGATATTTGCAGAAGTGTTTGTGCATTTTTTGTCAAATGTATGAAAAGCACCTAGCATCAATTGTTCCAATTTAACCTGTACTGGCTATGTTTTTATGATAACTGGCCAGAATTCATTCAAATAACTCTGTTTAGTATTAAACGACATTATGGAGCGTAGACATTTTAACAGAGGCGAAATGCTAAGGGCCATGGGTATGCTCGAAGCTGGAATGCGCCAAATCGACGTAGTTAGAGCATTAAATACAACGCAAAGTGTAATATCGCGATTAAGTGCACGCTACCGTGAAAGTGGTGATGTTGCTAAAAGGCACACAAGGCACACAGGCTCGACGCCGACCGACTCTTACAGCACCAGAGCTTAGTTTAATTCTCCAGGAAACACATAATGTAACCGTTAGCCCTGACACTGTTCGCAATAGATTAAGATAGGTCAACTTAAGAAACAGACGACCCTGGAGAGCTCAACCCTTAACGAGAGGAAATCGAGAGGTACGATATTTGTGGGCTCAAGATCATGTTCAGTGGTCGAATGAACGATGGGCTAATGTTCTCTTCACGGATGAGTCTCGCTTTGGAATTCATCCGGATTCGAGAAGGCTTAGGGTATGGAGAGAACCGGAAAATCTTATTCGATTGGATCATGTTCAGGAAGTGCACCCTTATCAAGGTGGAACAGTTATGGTCTGGAGAGGAGTCCAGTTAGGCCGAAAAACCGATCTCGTTTTTCTTGAAAGGTTTCTAACAGGAATCACATATCGTAATTTAATTCTTGAGCCTGTCGTGTTACCATATGCCAATGATTTTGGGAGAAACTTCATTCTCATGCAGTGGTAAGTGAGTTTATCAATACTCATCAATTAAACATCTTACCTTGGCCGGCACAATCTCTTGACCTCAACCCCATGGAGCACGTATGGGACGCGGTTCAAAGAAGAATTTTGAGAATGGGTATGCCTCGTGAAACTCGTAGGGATCTGGTTCGGGCCGTGAATGCAGTGTGGCAGGCTGTACCTCAAGAAGAGATTGACAACCTGATCAGGAGCATGGAGAGACGATGTAGGGCTGTAATGAACAGTAGAGGAGGCCATACCCTTTATTAAGTAAAAATGGTTTTATCTTTTTTTTTTAATTCACAGTTTAGAATAAAAAAATGTGTGTATTTTTTTGAGTTTAATAAAAATCTAGGTAAATTTGAAAAATTCGGTAAATTTCGCATTTTTATTTCCAATACGTCCTGTAAACTATTTGTTTATTTTAATTTTATTATATCAGAAATGCAAATAATAAAATTACTGACGATGGCTGGATAAAATTGTAATATCCCTAGACTTTTCCGGTGTGTGTACATATACTTCTTGTCGACGGCCTGTATGAGTATGGAGAAATTTTAACTGACGATATAATATAATCGACAGTTCTGGACTGCCGGCGAACTGTATGGCACCTTTAATAAAAAAATAATTCAAATTCTGCTTTTTAAATAAAGTCTACGCATTTTTACTCAAAATACAAATTTTGAAAACTCTCGGAAAGTTAAAAAGAACTCCAAAGTCAAACTGATCAATCAAACCAAATAAAAAATACTTAATAAAGTTATGAAACTGATGCTGGAAACCGATCGGTGAAGAAACTAATGATATTTCGATGGGAAAATACGATTTATTTATCAAACAAGAACGAAATATGTGGTAGAAAGAAATGGGGAAGTATATGATAGAAAAAGAGAGAAAAATAACCTCGTTTGAGTAGCGTCGAAGGTTTTGATTCGATCAGCCAAGCGGAAGAAATGAAATCAGGATGTTTTTTTCATCCAGATAAATCTACAGGGTGTTTGCTAAATACTCTGTAGTGTTCATGATGTCTATTCATTCAGTCTCTCATGCATAAAAACATGGATATCATTACATTCATCCTTTAATCTTTTTTAATCCTCTAATCCTCCTCTAATCTTACTTCGTGTAAAAATGTATGTCTCCTCTATTAATTTGACGAAAGGATTCTCCATGTACCCGTGATGATACGGAGTGTCCCAAAATTTCATGGCTGCTATGGTTATTCCAGAGTATTCCAGAGAATCCTTCAAAATAGTCGCAATGTTGAAGAACTCGTACTCTGGAGACTTCAAATAGAACAGGACTACCTAGAAAAGTAGTTTGTTTCAAAATTGAGTGAAATTATAAATAAAAATATGTATATATGAGACATTTTTTTACTGTTTATTCAACAAACAGTTTGTTGATCTTTTGTTTGTATATGTTGGACTATATGACATTTATACATGTTTTTGTATAGTACTTACATGTGTCCAATTGAATGCTGTGAGTACTGAGAGTACCGATTTAGATATTTGAGTATCTGGAGGTCTTGTTCTTGCAAAGGTCGGAAACTTTGTCTTGTCTGATGTGGCAAAATGTGTGCAAAACTAAAAAGAAAATAATGTTTTTAATGTAAGAGATTTTGTAATGTACAGGATTATAAATTATTATAATTATTATTAAAAATTGAGATTTTTTTGTGCAAAAAACCATAAGTTTTTAAGTTTTTTTCATTCAAATATTGACGTTATTTGATTAAATTTCTACACCCTGTATCCCCGAAACTTTTTAACCTATTTTTTTATTCCATTTATTATTTTTTTTAACTATAACCTTTCAAAAACCTCTTAGTTCTACAGAATGATACAGTTTAAAAGATACAAAAAAACTTACGTATGATATCATAGGGACATTAAATGCAGAAGCCATGAAGGCTTCGTGTTCGCAAGTCTCTTGAGGACCGATATAAGCTGACACGTTTTTTGTCCACAGATCTGCTGTTTTCTGGACGCTGATGATCTCTTCACCGTACGTTTCTGCAACCAGGAAGTCCAGTTGGTGTCCACGTTTACCGAAAACTCCTTTGTTCACTTCTTCGACTGCCAGGGAGATGGCCCCTGAGATGGTAAGTCCTGGTCTAGAATATTCTCTATCGCCTTAAATAAAGCAAAAAATATTTCAGAATAAAACACTTTTAAATTAGTGAGATAACTCTTAATAGCCTAACCAAAATAAGACACTCTGCAGGATCGTGATTAATCAATGACCAGATTTTTCGAAACACCATGTATACATTTTAAAAAAACCTTAAAATATGTAAAAAGAAACAAAATAAAATATACGTGTTTAAGCGTTTTTTCGGAAATTTGACCGTTTTTTAAATAAAAAATATTGTAATATTTGAGGGGTGGTTTCACCCCCTTGGAACTGGAATTTCGAAAAATCCCTTCTTATCGAACCTCTACACACTAGAATCAACTTGTATGCCAAAATTGAGCCTCTTACGTTGAGTGCTTTGAGCAGGATCGTGATTAATCAGTGAGTCAGTCACTTAACAGCAAGAAAAGAAATTATAATATTACTGATGTTTATAGAAATAAAAATTCTGTTATAACTGGATAAAAATTCTCTGGAAAAATAAGGGAAATTTATTTCATTTTCTACCTTATTTTCTTATCATTCGTTTAGAAAAGTTGATTTATTTACGACAGCAGCTGATCCCGGTTCATAAATCTGACAAAAAATAATAAGAGCATTACGGCAGACAGATAAAGAAACTAAAGAAGAATTTTCCGGCTATATTTTCCTCTGTTAAAATTAAGTTTTCCGAATTTCCATATCAATACGAAAGTTTCCTATATGTCTAAATATCTGATACCACTTCAGGCGATATGAGAATACGTGCCTGCAATCGATAATATTATTATTTATTTGATATAAATTTATTGCTTATTTTTGACAATCATTCTTGTGAGGTTCTCTTCCTTTTTGAGAACGCTTACGGACGCCGAGTTGCCTTGGTTCGGTACTTGGGCGCCACCCTCAAAGTTTATAACCCTAAAAAGTTAACTTATTTAATTTAACAATCGGAACATTAATGAATTTCATTACAATAATGTTTTAATAATTAACAATTAATAATAAAATACATTGACAGTTATTATATAAAAGAAAATGAAGTCCCTTTTATTCTTGTATAATATTAATTAACACAATATACAGGGTCTCCCAGGAATAAATGCAGAAATTTTTATGAACTTCATTACATTCTGGTTGGTGTTTTTAGTTCCCTCAACATATATTTACAAACAAAATAAATATATTTATATTGGTTGTTCAGTCAATACGTATGTAAAATATAAAAAAACGTATGTAAGTAAAAAACGGCGTCCAGTTGGCTTGGAAATAAATATCCATGACATTCCCCATATAATTTTACTTATAAAATGAGAGCGATCTTCATTTCATAGCCATCGCTGACGCCGTTTTTTCTTCGATCATACGGTATTTTGTTAATAAACTTCTTTCTTTTGTTATTTTTATTCAATGGACATAGCAGTTCATAGAAATAATTTAGTCTACGTACCTGGTCTTCTCTGTGATCCTGTCAAATATCCAATTGTAAAAGTATCACTGTTGATTCTTGTGATTGACATTATTACCACCAATAAGAAAATGTCTAGCATCTCGTTTGAAAACCTTGTTCTGTAAAAAAAATAAAAAATATTGGGTAAGTGGGTAGTTAAAAAGAATATTATTACAAAAAAAATTCTTGAAATAAAAATAAAATTTTTAATATAAAAATTCAATTCATTCAAACCAAAACAAAATCTTAAACAGAAACAAAATGGGTGTAAAAAGATTTTCCAAAGGTTTTCTTTGTACCATAGTGCTTGAATTATGCATGCATTTTCCCGTTAAGTTTGCAAATTAACAACTTGTCCCCGCAAAGTCCGTTAAAACTTCCAAACTTCAGAACTTTCCATTTATTATAGCCTTTATCATTTGATCAGTTAACATTTATATTAGTAAGTTTAGTTACAAGTACTTGTTAGAAGTACGTAACTTAAAATGTGTATTTAATTTATAAATATTGTAATAATAATAATAAATGCCTTTATTGTCAAAAAATTTTTCAAGTTGTAGACAAAGGTAAACTAACAAACAAAGTAAAAAAACAAGGTACACAAACAAACAAACAAAAGATAATACTAAACATTATATAAACAATATTGTCAGTCTTATTGTTAAAATAAACATTTATAAATGTTTCCAATGTCAAAGAACAAAAAAAAATAAAAATAATATTCAAAAATATTTAGCTAGTTTATAGTAAAATATCAATGACCTCTAAATAAATTCATTTCGATGTCATTAGTAAATATAGCAATAGCAAACATTAGACCAGTGTTTACAAGATCAAATTCGATTTTCAAAATATAATTCATTTACGGAGTAGAAAGCCTTGTCTAGTAAATAAGAGTTCAATGCTTTGCGAAATGAAGAAAATCATGTTATGGATTTGATTTCAAATGGCAGGTGATTGTGCATTTTTTTCGAGTTGCATAATATTGAACTTTTAACTAACTCTGAGCGTGGGGTAGAGTCAATATTTTTAATTCTTTAAAAAAGTCCCGGCAATGAGTTCTGCTGTTTAGTCCCAGTGAATATCGGACAGGTCTCTTCTGGACCTTGAAAATGCGGTCAAATTGAGTCGCACAACACGTACCCCAGAATGGAAGGGCATACCTGAGGTGCGACTCAAAAAGTGCATATTAAACAGTTCTAGCCACTGACAAGTTAAGCTCCTTAGAAAGAGATCTTAATGCAAAACAGGCAGAGCTCAATTTTTTCGACAAAGCTTCGATATGTATATCCCATTTCAGAGAATGGTCCACAACAAGCCCTAAGAATTTTACAGATTTTACGACGTCAATGGTGGTGTTGTTAAGTACAAAAGGCTGCAACGAGTTTTTATACGACAAAGCTTTAGTTTTAGAAATATTGAGACTCAGGAGGTTCGAATCGCACCAAGATTTAATGGTGATTAAGTCATTTGATATAATCCTATGAAGTGCCGTGATGTCCTTGTTGCTCCAAGTGAAGCTAGTGTCGTCCGCAAAAAGACATATTTTGCCACTGATGTTTATATTAGCAATGTCGTTAATAAAAAGAAGAAACAAAATAGGGCCTAGTACTGAGCCTTGTGGTACTCCACATTCTATTGGCTTGCTAGAAGGCAACGTGGTATCCACCCTCACAAGCTGACTTCTGTTGCTCAGATACGACTTAAACCATTCGAGAGATGATCCCCTGAACCCATAGTGCTGCAGTTTATTAATTAGAATCTTATTATGATTTACACAATCGAACGCCTTAGAAAAATCATAGAAAATTGTTGCTGTAGAATAATGGTTGTTTAGGCTGGAGTAAACTTTATTAAGGAGGGAAAACATAACGTCATTTGTGGACTTGTTGCTTAGAAATCCAAATTGATATTCAGTAAGTATTTTGTACTTAAACAGAAAAGATACCAGCCTTCTTTTAACCAACCTTTCTATGATCTTAGATAGCGTTGGAAGGAGTGCAATTGGGCGATAGTTAGAAGCTTCATCTTTGTCTCCTCCTTTGTGCAGTGGAATTATTATTGCCGTCTTAAGACATTTTGGAAAAATACCATTTTGGAACGACATGTTTACTAAAGTTGTTAGGTGATTCAGAGTGCTTTCTGGCAGATTCGAAAACATTTTTAAAGTTAGCCCGTCGGTCCCAGAAGAGGATTTATTTTTGATGGTATTAATTGTACTGCGAAGCTCTTCTAAAACTACGGGCGAAAAAAAGAAACTGTGTAAGTTTACAATATCATTAGAGAGATAAGAAAGTGGATCATGAGGAGGACATACGGTATTAGTTAAGTTTTTCGCTACATTTACAAAGTAATCGTTAAGGTTCTCAGGTGAGGTAGAGATATTAACATTCATTAACATTCATAACATTCATAATAATAACATTCTAGCTTAATAATTATTTAGTGTCAACCCGGTAGATACAAAATCTAAACTACTCTTAAATCTCATTTCATTATTCCATAAACCTACTACAACTAGACACGGAAATCCCAAGCATTCCCCAAACCGGCTCAGTCATGTTTACCATGGCTTCGGTCGCCGTCGTGCTTTTAAGTGAGTGGTAGAGTCCCGCCGCGCCGGGCGCTCGTAAAACACCGTCGCAGCACGACAGCCACTTCCCTCTACACCGCCTGACATTCCCCTGTCACTCGTAAATCACCCCTTCAGCTGGGCGCCGTAGATGCTAACGACCTCTTTACGTAACTGGAGCAACTGTTTGGAGTGATTTACTGACGATTGTACTGATATACAGTCATTTATTAATGTAAACATACCCGTAGAACCTATTAGGGATGTTGTATTAATAAAGGTTGGTTCATACTTCAGATACTAAGCTCCATTCGGAAGCTCGAAATAAGTAGAATAAATTAGTGGTTTCAATTAACTTACACTGAAAAAAAGGATCTCTCAGTCGAAATGAATATGACTTTGACCCAAAAGATTGGCGATTTTCGATAGGGCCAAGAACGACGTTTCTTTGCCCAAAGCATTAACTATCTTTTCATAAGCTTTAAAAAATTACTTTAGAGAATAGAATAATCTATCTGTCCAAAGTATTTCACTCTTGACCCAAAATGAATATGCAAAGAAGTTCTTGCTACAAGAACAATAGTCTCTTTGATTCATGCAAAAATTCTTGATTGAAAAGGGACATTTCTAGATTAAAGAGACAAACCAATTTTTTCTTAAACCAATAGCGAATACTAAATCATAAACAAGCATATTACGAGGTATATTATTTTCTGATAAATTTAGATTTTCCTGGTCTGTAATAAGTAAAGTGATATTATTTTCTTCGATAGTAGTTAATTCTGCTTCTTCACCTCCTTGGTATTTTTTGGGGTGGTTCATCACTCTACAAATTACAAAAAAAATGTTACATCACGATTAATCAAAGTAAAGCAAATAAATTATTAAAATTATAAGCTTTGGTCACATTTTGAATTTTTTAATACGACGACTTGGAATTCTAATTTTTTTTTAATTATTTGCATAAAAAAATCGATACCTATATTCTTATTCTATCTATAGTCACTCATGCATTATCTAAACAGGTGCATTAGGTAAATGTCTCTTACCTTCAAATATAGCAAATAAATGCTCTAATTTCCATTTTTTCAGAAACTCCTTTAAAGAATCCATATAACCTAAAATTTGTCCATAAAAAATGACAAATGCATGTTAATAACGATCACTAATTTGTTATACGATATGCGTTTAAAAAGCAAATTACGCAAAATTCCAAGCAACAAAACCCGTACGTACGATTCATCGGACTGCCGACTGATTGTATATGTATACCATCCTTCGTCATCGTCTTTGCTTGTCGTTATTATTTTTCATCAAAAGAGTATTTAGCTATTGGAAAAATGGCCATGTTACTTGAATGAAGTACTTTCTAGCGTATTTTTCTTATTATCTTAAAACAAAGTAACTTGCACTTGGTTGAATGAAAATAGATTCAAGAGAAATTTTCGAATTTTTCAAGAGAACCAGTTTTCTTGAGTTAAGAGAGTTTTTCTTCAGTCAAAATATTTTCTTTTGCGCTAAAATAAATTCTCTTGCCACTAATTTTTTTTTCAAGAACGATGACGACTTTAGTTCAAGTCTATCTTTTTTATCAGTGTAGAAGTTTATTCATCTAATTTCATTGTAAGGCATTTAGAACGTTAAAATTAGTGGTAGGAATTTGCAATTAGCAGACAAAGTTAACCACGTTTGACTTTTTTCTTTGTTTATAGTTATAATATAATGTTTATAGTTATAACCAATAACTAAAGAATACAAGGATATTTGGAGACCAAAAGACCAAATTGTTACCATGGCTCCAAACAGTGCCGTGGCCACATATTTTCCTTAACTTAACTGCTTAAAGGGATATTTATATTTTTGATAAATGCCTACGCCTGTGGTGTAGGCGGTGGTATCATACTACTATACTAAGAAAAAGAAAAATAAGAAGAAAAAGAAAAAGAAAAAGAAAAAGAGAAGAACTGAAAGTTTATATTATTCAGTAAAGTTATAATTCGGTTAAGTTACTTCAGTTGCTCGCAACCACCAAGAATTTCATTACCATGCGGTATATTATCGCTTAGAACAACGTTGGTTCTAGTTCTATTCCATTCCATGACCTGCTTAACTAGCTGGCTTCGTGCCTAGAAATGAATGATATAGGGCCGACATCGTTTGCGGTATCCTGATGACGGATGACCGAATTGTGCATCGCGTAGTGCCACGAAGCGGGATTTTCTTTATTTAAACTGGAACACGTCGCAGAAAAAGATGGCTCTCTTTTTTGGACAGTAAAAAATGGATAAAGTTACACAGAACGACTTGAAAATTTGTGAATCTACTCCTTAAATATCGCACATAACTACTGTATAATAATTATAATGACTTAGCGCTTGCACGGTACTATAATTATAAAACAACTATAGCGTGTACCAGCGACTTCGTTCGCGTCGAATTAATCATTTGTAATGGTGATGATAAAGCAAAGCAAGAATTTCCATTAACATACAAACTGGATAAAATTTTCTCACATTTATGTCAGCATGAGAAAAACAATAT